CCTCAGCCCCCTCCCCAGACCCTGCCATCTCCAGCCAGGCTCAGTGTTGTTACCAAACTGCCTGCTGATCTGATAAGCTACCTTCTAATTTAAACAAACTAGGAACTTCCGGTCGGCTGGTGGCTCATGGTACCCACCAAGGCCCGGTGTACTTGTATCACCGTGTCATATCAGAACACATGAAATCCTATACTCATTTTAATTTCAAAAGACTCTGGTATGTGTTCAGGTGGATCTTAGCACTGCATAGCCAGGGAGAAGGCAGCAGTTTTCACTGTGTGAAGAGTCGAGAAGAGAAACAACTGTGACTTTCTGGCTTCTGGGCTAGGAGACTCGGCTCAGAATGGTAGGGTTTGTTCAACTCTTAGTCAAGGTGTTGGGGATTCTTTCCAGAAAGATTCCGTTCTTCCCAGGGATTGTGGGAATGGCAGGGCAGGGGTGGCCACCCGGTGTAACAGCCTGGGCCTCCTGGGACAAAACAAAGTAAGGGGCAAAGCACAGCAGCTTTATCGTTTGCCTAAGATTTGAGACCTTTCTGGGATTTAATGCGCAAAAATGAATGTTAGTTCTGCTGGCATTTTCGGAAAGACCAGGTGAGAAGTCAGTAACTTAGGGACTGGAAACATTTTTCAAAGCGCCAGGAGTTTCAAGTAGCAGCAGCCAAAGAAGGGCTTGTGGTTTTATGTGGAATTTCATGCTTATTAGATATGGTATTTGGTGAACCTTGACAATACGTATTGGGTATAGTGCGTCCTACCAGGAGTACAGTACCATCTCTAAAAATCCTTCAGATGAAAATAAAGAAGTTGGTACATAGCTCAGAGCTCATAATGGGAACTTCACTGGGGAATCTGAATTATTCTAGTGTAATCAGAATTTATGAAACCTCATACATTATTTCTCAGAAATTATATTTCTCCTCTTCAGGACTTACAAATATAAACTATATAAATATAGCAGTTACCCATCAAAGCTATCTTATATATTCTTGTATCTGAGCTTTCTCTCCTCTCCAGTCCCAACTCTAGACAACTCCAAATGTCTGCAGTTTCAAAAGAGAATTTTGCATCATATCAATCATACATAAATCCATTTCCTTTATAAAAACTCAAACAATATAGAAAAAATTAAAATGTTTCTGACTACTACTCAATCCCACCTCTTCATAGACTGTGTATACTTTCAGAACTTTTCTATTCATATACATAATTTTATATTTTGTTTTCAACATTCCCGGTATCATACTCTATTTTGTTCTGCAATTTGTCCTCGGTCGGGCAGTGGGGGTGTGTGGATCTTTCTACGTGGGCATATTGTTTTTAACTGCTATGGCTATGCCATAGTGTATTAACCACTCCTGTAATGATTAACATTTACATCATTTCTGTTTTTCTGCTATTACATTAACTGTCGTGAACATCCCTGTATATAACTTTTTGTGAACTTGAGTATTTCTCCACAGGAGATAGCGAAGAGTAGATGTGACACATTAAAGGATAAGTATGTTTTACATTTTAAATAGTAGATACTACCTCGTTGTCTTCCAAACTTTCGGTACCACTTTATACCCCTACCAGCAGTGATACTGCAATTCTACTTCAGTCCTTTCTTTAGGTAAAGGTTCAAAGAAGCATCTGCTACTAAAATGCAAATGACAAGGAACCAGTTTGAAGTCCTTAAAGCCTGAAAATGAGTAATGTAGCTTTAAGGGTAGTTTTGCTGGAAGAAAGCAGGTTTATGAGATTCTAGGAAGCCAGGGAGCAGCTTGAAGACTTAGGGCGCCAAGAGGTGGGAGTGGTGTTGTCAAGAAGATGATAACAGAGTTGCAGGATGGGGAATGGCTGAGGCCATTGGAAGAGTAGTAGCAAAGAACTGTTACCCCTGGGCTTCCCTGGTGGCGCGGTGGTTGAGAGTCCGCCTGCTGATGCAGGGGACACGGGTTCGTGCCCTGGTCCGGGAAGATCCCACATGCCGCGGAGCGGCTAGGCCCGTGAGCCATGGCCGCTGAGGCTGCGCGTCCGGAGCTTGTGCTCCGCAACGGGAGAGGCCACAACAGTGAGAGGCCCGCGTACCGCAAAAAAAAAAAAAAAAAAAAAAGAACTGTCACCCCCACTTCAGAGTTAGGGGTGTGGGCGGGGAGGTGCTTTGCATACTCTTATCCTTCAACCCACCTGCTCTCCCCTCTCCCAACCTACTCCTTTTCTCCAAGAGCCTGACCTTGTGCAGAGGCCCTCAAACTTATTTTATGACTCTCCTTAGGCGGTGAGGCAGCCTCTAGGGGAATTGATGGCAGGATAGAGATCTCAGCCTAAGCCAGCTATCAGTCGAATTCTTTTCTGATAGATAATGATCATTTCTAAGACCAGACAGGCAGAACCACTTACCCCCCTTCCTGTTCCCAGCGGCATCCATTCAACACGTAAATGTAATGAAAAGCTGAAAAGCGTCTGAGGATTTTATCCATCCTGAAGCAATTTACAAACTCAGAATCCAGGAGAAACATTTGTTTTGTTCTCAAGAAGCTTTCTTACCTATTACTGAAAAAGGGGAAGAAGGAAAATTATTTCACTATCCAGTTCTAATGTTTAATTCATTTAACATTTAAACTTTGCAAAGAGAGGCTTATTTAAGACTTTTTAAAAGTTGGACGTTTGAGAAATTGTAGCAGATGATTGTAACTGAAGTTTGAACATTTTTAACCAATTCAGCATCATCCTTTTTTTCTTTTCTAGGCTGAGCATCAGAACCATCTGGGGTCCTTTTCAAAATCCCAATACACAGGTCCATACTAGTTAAGTCAGAATGCCTGGGAGTATGTGAAACTACTGATCCAGTGGATAAGAGAAAAAAATCTTTTTGGTTTAAAAGCATAATCTCTAGGAAGTACAAGACAATAACGCAGTTAAAATAGTTCAAATACTTTAAGTCTTTTCCCTGTGACCAAAGAACGCCATGATGCAACAGACCTGTTGAACAATAATTTACAAAATGAGATACAATACTAATTAAATTTGCCAAATTGAGACTTTGAGATGGGTTTTAGGTTATAAAATTATTGGGCACAGAAAGAACATGTTTTCCTGATATTGATTAAATTTTCTGGATCTTTTTCTTGATATTTGCTGCATTTGCATGTGATACAAAGATAGCACAGGCACACTTTATGAACCTAAGAAGGTGTTTTTAATGAGAACTAGACAGACTGCTTAGTAAGCAACAAAGAACACTTAAGAGAACCTCATTAAGGATTTATGTGAATCATGGTTATTTTTGAAACTTGGGGGTGGGGGGAAGAAACCAGAAAGAGTCTTATTTGCACCGCATTTTGTCCTGCCATTCATGCGCTAGGTATTAATTTTATTGCACATGCATACTTCTACGTCATTACTTTTAAAATTCTAGAGAATGTTCCAAAACTTAAGCCTCCCTGTCTCCATCCCTAGCTGGACTGGGTGGGATGCCTGTCTGGATCAAAGAGCAACCTATTGCTCATTGCAAAGCCTCTTGCCAAGTGAGTCAGCGCCTCTACCCTGCAAGAATGCATGCGTGCTTCCTCAAAGCTGCTTTCTCCTGGGGTGGGTGGGGAGGAGGGGACTCAGCAACCTGCAGCCTCATGGGGAAGGGGGCTGTTTGTTCTCTCTCTGGGGAAGTAACTCCCTCAAACCTCCTCCCTTGGCTGAGCTGCTTCTAATAGCTTTGAGTAGGGCCCAGTGAAGTTGGCTTTTCCATTACATCTAGATGGACTACAAGAGTGTTTTGCTGCTGTTTTTTAGCTTTGTTTGCTGGGGGGTTTTTTGTTTGTTTGTTTGTTTTTTGCGGTACGCGGGCCTCTCACTGTTGTGGCCTCTCCCGTTGCGGAGCACAGGCTCTGGACGCACAGACTCAGCGGCCATGGCTCACGGGCCCAGCCGCTCCGCAGCATGTGGGATCCTCCCGGACCAGGGCACGAACCCGTGTCCCCTGCGTCGGCAGGCAGACTCTCAACCACTGCGCCACCAGGGAAGCCCTGTTTGCTGGGTTTTTAAAGGACAACTATTGATGCTATTAGTGGCTGCCCACTTTGGAAGTCTTTAGTCTGGACAGCGGCTGTGTCCCCTTTCTCCTGCTAGCCCGTCCCCCTCTCTGGGCTGAGGTTACCTGCTAAGACAATGGTATGTGCTTTGACTCTTCCTGATCTAAAGGGAATAGAATTACCTAACTGTTCTAGGGCAGTCCCTTGGGGGAACTAACCTTGGGCTTCTGTCCAGATGAAGTTGTATTTTGACAACGTGTCTTGGTCAGTGGTGATGAGTCTTTATAAAAGGTGAGCTAGCGACTGAAATAGGGTGTGTACCTTCTGCTGTATTTTCCCCTTTGCCTTTCTTGCCTCTTCTCTTGTGTTCTTATCATAACCTAGATTATCACTACTTCTGTGAGCGCTCTCTGTGCTCTCCTTTTTTCTCACTGCCACAAGAGCAGCACGATCTTATCTTTCAAAATATACGTAAGGGTAGAAAAAGGGAACAAGTTTAAGTAAGTCCATCTCTCAAGAAACCTAGTGTTTTTAGCCTTGTGACTTCTAAGTGTAGAATTCCACCCTAAGACTGGACTGTGTTTTGAATGTCACGCAGAACCTATCTGAAACTTGACTTGGCCTATTTGTGTGCTTTTGCTGTTGCGCTTCTTGTCCTAAATGGAGGGAAACATTCCAAAGTTTTTGCGTATTTTGAAAGTATGGTTGAACCTTGTTTAAAAAAAATAATCCCTGAAGGAACCCTAAAGCAACTGATAATGGTGTGTAATTTATATTTATTTACATCTTCATGTGTTTCTTCAGGTTCACCTGAGAGCTGAACCCTTTGGCTTAAAAAGAACATGTCGGAGGAAAGAAGTCTTACAAGCATCTAATGGCCTCATGGCTCACCTTTCCTCATGTCACCTCCTATTATCGTTGACAAGCTTAGCATGTTTTCTGTTTGAACCTGCCTGTAATTTGCCTTAATCTTTCTGTTGTCTTATAGGACTACCAGCCAGACTCCCAGAAATCATGTTGGTAGGATCCCAGTCTTTCTCGCCTGGAGGGCCCAATGGGATCATCAGGAGCCAGTCCTTTGCGGGGTTCAGTGGCCTTCAGGAGAGGCGATCCAGGCAAGTTGTGTGTGGTTCTCTCCTGGGACGCAGCTTGAGAGGGATGTGAGCCTTGGTGCTCTGAAGAGGGTCCGCGTGCATGTGGCCTTGTCAAAACACACACCTGTGTTATTTTCATCTCTTTCATGAAAAAGATGTCATGTTCCCCAAATTTCTATCATTTAGAATTCCTCCTTCAAAGATTTAGGACAAGCTAGCAATACATATGTATAGTTCTCCCTACCCCCACCCCATTTCTTTCAGATCTGTTGATGCCTATTGCCAGAGTGCTTCCAAATGTTTGAACCCATTTATCCTCTAAGCAGTAACAACAGATTTACCTTTATCCACACATCAGTCGATACTAAGCATTTTCTAAAAATCTTTTCCAGTCTTTTATGTCATCCCTAACGAGGTTAAATGTGCTTTCATAAGTTTACTTGTCTTTTGTATTTATTTTGGGAATAACCAGTGCATTCATATCCATTGCCTATTTTGGGGGTGGATATTTACATATTTTCTTATAGAACAATAAAGGCTCTTTATATATATCCATTGTAGCACCATGTATTGTAGTCTTTTTCCCCCTAATTTGAATTGCTACCTTTTTTTCTTTTTACCTTTTGACCTCCTTCACCCATTTCTTCTATCCTGCCCACACTCCCTGCCTCTGACAGTCACCAATATCTATGAGCTTGGGTTTTTGTTGTTTTTCTTTTAGATTCCATGTATGAGAGACTGTACAGTATTTGTCTTTGTCTGACTTACTTCACTTAAGTGTGATGCCCTCGAGGTCTTTCCATGTTGTCACAAATGGCAAGATTTCATTCTTTTTTATGGCTGAGTAATATTCCTATATATATATATATATATATAATGGAATATTATTCAGCCATATATATACATATCACAGTTTCTTTATGCATTCATCCATTCATTGGACACTAGCTTGTTTCCATAAATCTTGGCTATGGTAAATAGTGCTACAATGAACATGGGGGTGCAGAAATCTTTTTGAGTTCATGTTTTCATTGTCTTTGGTTAAATACTCAGAAGTGGAATTGCCAGCTCATATGGTAGTTCTATTTTTAATTTTTTGAAGAACTTCTATACTGTCTTCCATAGGGGCTGCACCAATTTGCATTCCAAGCAACAGTGCACAAAGGTTGCCTTTTCTCCACGTACCTGCCAACACATGTTATTTCTTGTCTTTTTGATAATAGCCATTCTAACAGGGGTGAGGTGATATCCCATTGTGGTTTTGATTTGCACTTCCGTGATGATTAATGCTGTTGAGCATCTTGTCACGTACCCTTTGGCCATTTGTATGTCTTCTTTGGATATGTGTCTGTTCAGATCTTCTGCCCATTTTTTAACTGGGTTGTTTGGTTTTGGCTATTGAGTTGTATGAGTTCTTTATATATTTTGGATATTAACTCCTTATCAGATATGATTTGCAAATATTTCCTCCTATTTAGTAGGTTGCCTTTTTATTTTGTTGATGGTTTCCTTTGCTTTGCAGAAGCTTTTTGTTTTTTAGTTTGATGTAGTCTTACTTGTGTAATTTTGCTTTTGTTGCTTTTGCTTTCAGTATCATATTCAAAAAAATCATAGCCAAGACCCGTGTCAAGGAGTTTACTACCTATGTTTTCTTTTAGGAGTTTCATGGTTTCAAGTCTTGCATTCAAGTCTTTAATCCATTTTGAGTTAATTTTTTTATATGGTGTAAGAGAGGGTCTAGTTTTATTCTTTTGCATGTAGCTGTCCAGTTTTTCCAGCACCATTTATTGAAGAGACTGTCTTCTCCCGATTGCATATTATTGGCTCCTTTGTCGTAAATTAACTGACCATATATGAGTGGGTTTATTTCTGGGCTCTCTATTCATTGATCTATGTGTCTGTTTTTATGCCAATACCATACTGTTTTAATTACTATAGCTTCATAATAGAGTTTGAAATCACCCCACACCCCTTTTTGAAGCACATTCCATTGTATCCAGATTTGGGAGATTATTTTTGGTATGAAGTTACGTAGTCAATAAAGACTGACTCTGCAGACTGACTCTGGGGAGCAGATGTCTTTCAGACACAAGCTTGGGAATGTTAGTCTTCAGTTTCCCTAGAATCTCCCCTCATCTAAAATAGGACTTAGAGGAACTCAAGAAAAAGAACACAGGTAGTGAAATGGGTAACATGGAATAAAGTTCGTCCTCAGTTTTTCTGACATGATAAAGATCTTACATTCTTAGGGGTCTTATGTGCTTTGACCTGTATTGTCCCCTTTGGTGCACACGGTAATGGCAGAGGAAAGTAAGAATTAACCTGGAAGGTGCACAGCAGACACCTACCAGACTCGGAGGTCACAGCTTTCCACTCAATAGCTGGGTCAGTGAGTAGTCTGGCCTCTGAGCTTCCTAATCAGATCAGTAGTTTGGGTTTAAGTTACCAGGTGTCCATCTTACCACTGTAGGCTGCCTCCCTGCCACTAATAGGGATGTTGAGTTTCATGTTATACCTAAACAAAATTTACTCCATAAAAATAAAGCTTAAGGGAATTCCCTGGCCGTCCAGTGGTTAGGACTCAGCGCTTTCACTGCTGGGACCCCAGTTCGCTCCCTAATTGGGGAACTAAGATCCCACAAGCCTCTCGGTGCAGCCAAAAAATAAATAAGTAAACTTTTAAAAAGTCTATTCATCCAGCTATGTGCGCTTTTCTTTACTTTAACACTACAGACATACCTTAGAGATACTGCAGGTTTGGTTCTAGGCCACTGCAATAAAACAAATATAATAAAGCAAGTCACACAAATTTTTTGGTTTCACAGTGCATATAAAGTTTATGTTTACACTATAGTCTATTAAGTGTACAATGGCATTATGTCTAAAAAAATTGTACATACCTTAGTTAAATACTTTATTGCTGAAAAATGCTAACCATCATCTGACATACAAAGTTGCCACAAATCTTCAATTTGTGAAAAAACACAATATCTTTGAAGTGCAATAAGATAAGATGTGTTTATATACAGCATCAGCCCTTTGTCATGCTTATGGCCCTTTATTTAAAAACTATTCATTCACATCCCAGTCAGATTTAATAGACGCTTATGCCTGATGTCACATAGTGCACGTAATTTTTTAGCTGAATTACATTCTTCTGCCTGTTCATAATTTCCACCTAGAAGTGTTTGTTCTTGGCTTCCCATGAGGTTTCAGTGATGTGACATGCTTTGACTCAGAGTGTACATTACCTGAATCCAGGCTTTGACTCTGGGTAACTGCTGCCCAGCAAAGCTTCCAGATTTCAGCAGTTAACTCTAAAACCACAAAACTAAATGAAGGATGGCTCAGATCTATTAATACACAAGGGAACGTTACCTTCCTCAAAAGACACTAACACAAACACAAGATGACTAAAAGGCATTTCTTTGGTCAGATCGTTTTGGATGCCCAAGACTCAAACAATTTCAGCTTTTCTTTTCTCTTTCCATAGATGTAACTCCTTCATTGAAAATCCCTCTGCTCTCAAGAAGCCTCAGGCCAAGCTGAAGAAAATGCACAATTTAGGATACAAAAACAGCAGCCCTCCCAAAGAGCCTCAGCCTAAAAGGGTGGAAGAGGTCTACAGGGCTTTGAAAAATGGACTTGAGTAAGAACATCAAACCTAATAATGCACTGAAACCTTTTTCCTTTCTAAAATGCTCAGAAAAACTAGTCTTATGAGATCATTTTAGAATGTCTATTTCTGTAGTAGGTGTTTTATTATTGCACCATAATTGAGGAAGCCTTAAATGAGTCCCAAAAATATGAACTTGGTCGGGTTTCCATATCATAACCAAACATTGAAGGAGACCTGAAATAGTAATATGTTTATATTTAACTCTGTGTAATATTGTATTTTACTTAAACACTGGTAGACAGGCCTATGTGTTTTAGAGATTGCTGAAGAAGCATTCTAAAACCTTCCTGAGTATATTGTAGCAATGATTTATCCAGAATAAAACTTTCCTAGTGTGTGGTGAGATGCATACTGTCAGTGTCCTATGGAACTAGATAGAATTCTGTGAGCCCAGATCCAGGACTGACTCCATAGTTCTTGCCATTCCCTCCACATTGGTTTTTCTTTCCTGCTATGCCAGCCTCATAGGCATTCTCCTTTTTGACTATCTGGATAGTATCAGATTTAACTGCCAGAGCTTTCAAAATGTGGAGAGTTTAGGAAAATGCAGAGCCTCTTCCCTGCCAGCTCTGTGCTCCACAGAGCAAGGTTCAGGTTCTTAATGCCCCCTCTTTAGAAGGGAAAGGTCAGCATCAGCATCAGATTCCACTTGACAGTCACGGAGTTCACGATCACGTCTCTCTCTTTTCTTTGCAGTGAGTATCTGGAGGTTCACCAGACAGAGCTGGACAAGTTGACAGCTCAGTTAAAAGATATGAGAAGAAACTCTCGCCTGGTAGGTACCATCTAATCCTTAGGGTGTTAACACAGTGGGTTTTTTGGTTTTTTGTTTGTTTGTTTTGGCTAACTTCTCTTACTGGATAGACATGGGGACAAGGAAGAAAGTTCAAGAAAAGCAGATCCAAGGGACAAAGTGCCATGTGCTTCCTGATGTTTATTTTAATGCTTCATATTCCTGATGTTTATTTTAATGCTTCATATTCCAGTATTTTCCAAGCATGTTTATGCAGACAAACTTTGTAATCAGGAAAACATACTTTAAAAAAGCCAACTCCCTATACTCCTCTTCCCAAGTAATATAAGGAAATGAAAAGTTGGGGTTTGCCTACCATATTGTTAGTACAGCATTTGGAACCCAGAACTTTCCTTTATATCCAATTTTTTAAAATTGTAATAGGTCAGTGATACCTGAGAGGAAAAGGAGGCTCAAGAGGTCATTGGTAGAAGAAATCGGAGGAGTCCTTGAGCCAGTTCAACTACACACTGTATTGTTGGAGATGCTTGCAAGTTTCCTTTACTCTAATGAATTGTGAGGACTTGTCTGCTTGAAGAGATGTTTCTAATGATTTTAAATGATTTTGTTAAGTTCTAAATGATATTATGCCTTAAAGTTTTAAGGCATCAGAAAGCCCAGGAAAAGTCTACGTATACGAGGTACACATATACATGAATAGCTGTTATCATCAGTTTTTTAAAAGATGTTATCCTTTTCAAAGGCTTAGAGGTGAAAGCCTTCATAGAAGTTAAAAGTTTTGTATTCTAATAATATTAGAAGATAAATTGCTCCCATTTATGTGGAACTCAATGTGGAGTGGCCTTCAGAGCTTTTGAATGTCCCTGGCAGTCCTCAATGGCAACAAATGTTCCTCCTTGGAGAACAATGGTGTATGGATGGAGGAGCTTCCAGCAGGACCTCATGTTCCATAAAAACCCTCCTGATGGGGGATGTGGGCTTAAGTGTACTGATTATACTGTGATATTGTGAGCACACAGGAATAAACTTGCTTTAAAAACAATTTGTGAAAAGCTTTCACCACTCTCAAGGGCTCTTCTTAAATGCCAATTTTTATGTGTTTAAACAGGAAGGCAAGTCTTTTTTTTTTAACACATATAATCACTGCTACTTTTTATGTTAAAAACATTTTAAAAAACATTTAAGTGGACGTGAATTTATGTGTCCCTCACTATGTAAGAGAGGAGAGCCCAAAGCAAGTGAACGTCTTAAGGCTCCCAGAAGGCAGAGAGGACTCTGGGTAGAATTCTGGAGACACAGAGTATAAATAAATATTCGCTCTTAAAAGTATTCTTACTATTATTTAAAATAGCCCAGATTTACTCTTTTAAAGCGAATATCAAAAAGTCCAACAGACATTATGGGGCTAATCATTATTTCACTGACAATGCAGAAATGCAGACAAAATCCTTTGATTCATATCAGTAACGGTTTTGAGGAAGATGTGTTTTAATCCAGATACTCCTTTTTTTTTTTAATTTTAGGGTGTGCTGTACGACCTAGACAAGGTACGTTATTGTTCTGTGTTGGGGAGTTACTGGGAAATAAAATCCTTCATCCTTGAGGAGAAGTCAGTGATCCTTGCTTAGGTACAGTAAGATCCTAGAGAAATGATGATTTTTCTAATCCTAGAAAAGTTCACACTTTTATCTAATGAGGATGATGAAAGATCATAAGTACTATGATCTACAGACCCAATAATGTGTTTAAGGTCACTTTTGTAAAAAAAAAAAGTCACGTGGTTGCAGCGTTTCTCAGTGTTCTGGTTAAGTTTAAGAATTCCCAAGGGTTTGAAGGTCCTTACCTGTGTTCTCTCTAAATGGGAACTATCATTTCATCAAATGGAAGACCTCTTTGATTGGAAAACACATCATTTTCTTATTTGCCACTAAGAAAAAGAGTGATTACAGCTACACTGTGACACAGTTCTTTCTTTTCACTTAAAATATGTATTTTATACTTAGTGACAAAACTCTCTTAGGCCTATTTTAAATGTAGATATATTTTTTTAAGTTATATATGATGCTGTCTCTTTCCACACCTTTCTGTACATACGAGACCTTTAACACTGAATCATATTCAATGCAATCCCTATCAAACTACCAATGGCATTTTTCACAGAACTAGAACAAAAATTTTCACAATTTTTATGGAAACACAAAAGACCCCGAATAGCCAAAGCAATCTTGAGAAAGAAAAACAGAGCTGGAGGAGTCAGGCTCCTGGACTTCAGACTATACCACAAAGCTACAGTAATCAAGACAGTATGGTACTGGCACAAAAACAGAAATATAGATCAATGGAACAGGATAGAAAGCCCAGAGATAAACCCATGCACATATGGTCACCTTATCTTTGATCAAGGAGGCAAGAATATACAATGGAGAAAAGACAGCCTCTTCAATAAGTGGTGCTGGGAAAACTGGACAGCCACATGTAAAAGAATGAATTTAGAACACTCCCTGACACCATACACAAAAATAAACTCAAAATGGATTAAAGACCTAAATGTAAGGCCAGAGACCATAAAACTCTTAGAGGAAAACATAGGCAGAACACTCTATGACATAAATCACAGCAAGATCCTTTTTGACCCACCTCCTAGAGTAATGGAAATAAAAACAAAAACAAATGGGACCTAATGAAACTTAAAAGCTTTTGCACCATAAACAAGACAAAAAGACAAGACATAAGGAAACCATAAACAAGACAAAAAGACAACCCTCAGAATTGGGGGAAATATTTGCAAATGAAGCAACTGACAAAGGATTAATCTCCAAAATTTATAAGCAGCTCATGCAACTCAATAACAAAAAAACAAACAACCCAATCCAAAAATGGGCCAAAGACCTAGATAGACATTTTTCCAAAGAAGATATACAGATTGCCAACAAACACATGAAAGGATGCTCAACATCACTGATCGTTAGAGAAATGCAAATCAAAACTACAATGAGGTATCACCTCACACCAGTCAGAATGGGCATCATCACAAAATCTACAAACAACAAATGCTGGAGAGGGTGTGGAGAAAAGGGAACCTTCTTGCACTGTTGGTGAGAATGTAAGCTGATACAGACACTATGGAGAACAGTATGGAGGTTTCTTAAAAAACTAAAAATAGAACTACCATATGACCCAGCAATCCCACTACTGGGCATATACCCTGAGAAAACCATAATTCAAAAAGAGTCATGTACCACAATGTTCATTGCAGCTCTGTTTACAATAGCCAGGACATGGAAGCAACTGAAGTATCCATTGACAGATGAATGGATAAAGAAGATGCAGCACATATATACAATGGAATATTACTCAGCCATAAAAAGAAATGAAATTGAGTTATCTGTAGTGAGGTGGATGGACCTAGAGTCTGTCATACAGAGTGAAGTAAGTCAGAAAGAGAAAAACAAATACCGTATGCTAACACATATATATGGAATCTAAAAAAAAAACAAAAAAGGTTCTGAAGAACCTCGGGGCAGGACAGGAATAAAGATGCAGACGTAGAGAATGGACTTGAGGACATGGGGAGTGGGAAGGGTAAGCTGGGACGACATGAGAGAGTGGCATGGACATATATACACTACCAAACGTAAAATAGATAGCTAGTGGGAAGCAGCCGCGTAGCACAGGGAGATCAGCTCGGTGCTTTGTGACCACCTAGAGGGGTGGGATAGGGAGGGTGGGAGGGAGACGCAAGAGGAAGGAGATATGGGGATATATGTATATGTATAGCTGATTCACTTTGTTATACAGCAGAAACTAACACACCATTGTAAAGCAATTATAATCCAATAAAGATGTTAAAAAAATACTGAATCATAGTATAATCTGCTTGCAGATATTTTAAAGGGTAATTAAATTTAATGCATGTGATAATATTTATAACTCAAATGGAAGAGATGACACATAACCAACTATGATTATCTTGGGGCGTGCACAGACAGTTGCAATTGTAAAATGCACCCCATTTCAGAGACATTAAAATGGGGGGCGAGTTCATATTTGAGCTGATAAAATGTTATTATGAAGAAACTTAAGTATACTCCAATATGATACTGTCCTGCCAGAAATCCAGTGAATTCCATTTGGTTGGCCCCTCTTAATGTTAAACATAAGGATTCCAATAGCTAACTCAAGTTCATCTATCAGAGTATTTATTCATATTTTTTAAAAAAATACTTTCTAAGTTGATACTAGAGAATATTTAAAGTAGCAACAGAGATAGGAAGAAAGGGGAAATAGTTAACGTCTTCTGGTACTTTTGAGTATGAGATAATAAAGATAGCCACACAAGTCTAGTCAGTGAAACTGTAAATGGCTGTACTTTTTCAAATTTCTTCTTTTATTCCAGCAAATTAAAACAATTGAAAGATACGTGAGACGCCTGGAGTTTCACATCAGTAAGGTAACTGACGTTCCTCTTGTCTTTGCCTGTTTTTCAGTTCTCAGTCACTGATCAATACACCTTTGGCCTGAGCATAGCCTCTAATCCATGGAGAATTTCTTATCCAATTGACTCCTAAGCTGATTAGCAATTAAATCCTCCAACAGGCAGTAAAGTTGTAGAAAAAAAAATAAGAATGGAGAGCCTGATTACCTAGCACATTGTTTACTCTGCTTCAGTTCAACGGATATTTATTAAGTGTTTCCTGTGCAGCGTGCACGGTGCCTGGTAGAGGATACAGTCTGGGTGTAGTCTGGTTAGAGATAAGATTAAACCAAACTGACCTACAAAAATCTTCACACTTGCCTAACTTTACATTCAGGTCCCACATACAACTTGGTACCCCCATAGCCTTCTTCATGAAGGCCTTTAAAGTACTTAACAACAGCTGTCATGTAGCTCCCTCAATCGTTCTCAAGCTCTTAGTTCCTTCCACTCTTCATATGGCTTGGTTTACAGATTCCTTTTCATCCTCATTACCCACCTCTACGTACACCAGTTTGTCGGGGTCCCTGACATCCAGCCCTGAACCCTACAAATAGTTGCCTGATTGTCCCACCAGCCTATCGTGGAGTGGGACTATCCTCCCCACCCTGTTCTGGACACTATCAGGCAGTATCAGTACAACCTAGAAACAATGTCCGTTTGAGGGCAGCTGCATCACACCATTGGCAGTTCCTGTTCTTATCTGCACCCATCATCCTGTGTTCCAAGTGGAGAGACTGGAGGTTTTAGCAGTTCTCTCTACTAGTGGTCAGAAGCCCCAGGTTTTAGTCCCATCTCTGCCACATACTCACTGAGCTATAACATCTGTGTGGACCTTGGCTTTCCACTCCATGCAGTGAGGCTGGAAGTGCACATAGTCAATCTATATGATCCTAAGAATCCTTTCCAGTTTAAAATTCTATGATGATCTAAACATATGTATATGCTACTGCCGTTGTACATTCCCATTCCCACTTGAAAGATATTTATTACCTTGGCAAATCTGAAATTGCTTCTATTTCTGTTCAACTCAGTAAATAAAACAGGGACTTCCCTGGCTGGTCCAGTGGGTCAGACTCCTCACTCCCAGTGCAGGGGGTCCGGGTTTGATCCCTGGTCAGGGAACTAGATCCTGCATGCAGGCTGCAACTAAGAGTTCGCCTGCCACGCCTAAGAGTCTGCATCCCACAACTAAGATCCGGTGCAGCCTAAATAAATAAATGAATAAACAAACAATGACATCCATTAGAAGATATTTATGTGGCGGGCAAGCTTTGAAATTACTCTGTTTATTTGGAAAAATACAAAGAAAACAATTAGTATTAGGTAAGAGAGTATTTATCCATCTTGTATCCATCATTGTAAGATATAACAATCCTAGTGGTTATTAAAGGTTGGTAGTCCTCTATCTGCAGCATCTTATAGATGGATCCCTAACACATCCTAACAAATGATATTTAATTGATTAATCAGTTTATTTTGATGAGAGCCACTGCTGACTTATAGGTAAGACAAATTCTTGCCTACAGATGGGCCAGTTTCTGCTTAGGTGAGTACATAGTTATCCTTTATTCTAAAGGTTAACTCCATTTGGCTAGGGTAGATTGATATTTAAATGAAAACAAGGGTAAACTTTTCTTTAAATGCAAAGTAGTATACTAAGTCGTTAGGGCTATACCAGTGGTCCAGTTAGCAGTTTCCTTGTTGAGAGGATTACAGTCTTTGGACTACAGTGGGGGAAGGGCTGAAGGGACAGTCCCCCGGGAGGCCATATGGGTGAAACAGCCTGGCCTGCGTCGGAAAAGGTATCAGCTCTTGTGTTTCTAAGTGTCTAGGGGACCTGCCGCATCAGAACAATCTGCACTGTTTACTTAAAATTTCAGACTCCTCACCCATCCCTAACCTACTGAATCAGCATCTCAAAGTGGAGCCTGGGCATCATCATTTTAACAAGCTCACCAAGTGAGTCTTAGCTTAGTCTTAATGTATGGAAACCACCCTCTATGCCAGTCACCCAACCAAAGGATCTTATCAGCAGATATGCCACAACCCCTTGGGTCTTATACCTCCCTCTTATTCAGAGACAAACCCACCAACCCCAAAGAGGAAAGATTGTTCCTTCCAGAGTTTTGACGATTCCTCTCAGTGAAGTGGAGTGAATTGTTGAAGAGCAACAAAGAATCCTTTTAACCAAGAGAATCATTTTCAGTCTCTTAACTAATATTCATATGCTATAAGCTAAGTATCATTGACATCTGTATAGAGAAAGCAACTATGGAAAATTGTACTATTAACAGGTAATAGTAATGCTTTTTAGTGATCAGCCAAAAGTTTGCCTTCAGAACAAAAGGGGAATGTTAAACCCTGAAGTCCATCATATTCACCTCTACCTTCTTCTGGTTCTACAACTGTAGCCTCCTTTTTGAGGGAACAAAGTTTGTACTGAAATGAAAAATTCAAGCAGTCCTATAGGTAGATAACTGCCTCCCAGAAAACATGTCTGGTGATATCCTTCTTCTTAATCTACCTGATAATTCCTGTAGTTAACTGTGGCTGGTGTGTTGATAATTGAAGATAGGACGAGAGACTATAGAGATAAGTATCGTCAGATACAGCTGTATGTTTTCTCAGCCTAGGCACTATCGATATTTGGGGATAATTCTTTGCTGTAGGGGGCTGTCCTCTGTGTTACAGGATGTTTAGCAGCATCCATGGCTCTACCAACTAGATGCTAGTAACACCTCCCAGCTGTGACACTGAAAAATGTCTCCAGATGTTGCCAAATGTCCCCTGAATATCAAAATTACCTTGGATTGATTGAGAATCACTGCCTTAGAAGTATTAAGTATTAAGTGACTGTCAGGCTTATATAATGAATATGATCAATAGCCATTTGCTATTGTATTATTTAAAAGCCTAAATATAGAGGTATTGCAGAGAAATGTTCATTTCCATTCCTCCCGTTTACTTTTTAAAATTGTGGTATAAATTACATGCCCAAAATGTCACAGTTATTATGTTCAGTCTGTTAAGTTTTAACAGTCATGCGTCACCCTAATTTTAAGAATAACTTACCTTTGTTTTCTCTCTTTTGTTGGGCCACATCTTTACAAAAATCATTTTCAATAAATAGCCTTGAGTTCTTTTATTTAAAAAAATCTAAATCTGGATGCGTGAATATCACCTTGTGACACTCTCTTAAAATAAAGTGATAATAGCCCCGTATAATGCAACGTCTTCACATTGGTTTGAAACTGCATACACTCTTCCAGTGTTCGTTCCTTATATAAAAGACTCCTGTCTTCATTATCTAAACCTTGTCTCACGCAGTCCACCAACGTTAAGTTCATTTTCATTTTGTGTCATTTGAAAAGAGAGCTCAGAGTAAAATCCAGTTTGAAATAGAAAATGGATCATGTGGCGAAAACAAAAATGATGCATCTGTCTAAAAGGATGACATTTCTACAAGATTCTCCTTTTGAGGTCAGAAACATAAAGTATCTTAAGCACTTAACAATGGCCAATTTCACTTCCTTCAAGTGTGACAAATATTTATGTCCCTTGCGTTTCTGTTTTGATTCCGGCAGGTAGATGAACTCTATGAAGCTTACTGTATCCAAAGACGCCTCCAAGATGGTGCCAGCAAAATGAAGCAAGCCTTCGCAACGTCCCCTGCCAGCAAAGCTGCCCGGGAGAGCCTGTCAGAAATCAACCGGAGCTACAAAGAGTACACAGAGGTATGTGCCAACCTGCTCGGCTGCTGAACTCCACCTGGCCCAATCTGAATTGTCAATACCTGCTAAGAACCAGGGGAATGGCACCCTCAACCTCATTCTACTCTTTAGAGAGAGACGTTTTACTATTTGCCTGTCTTGTGTTTCCTTGAGGCCATCGGTGGAGCTGTTTAAAATGGCTCTTGGGTGGTTTTGTTGGTTGTATTTGTGTGTGTGTGTGTGGTACGCGGGCCTCTCACTGTTGTGGCCTCTCCCGTTGCGCAGCACAGGCTCCGGACGCGCAAGCTCAGCGGCCATGGCTCACGGGCCCAGCCGCTCCGCAGCAAGTGGGATCTTCCCGGACCGGGGCACGAACCCGTGTCCCCTGTATCGGCAGGCGGACTCTCAACCACTGCACCACCAGGGGAGCCCTGTTGGTTGTATTTTTGTTTAGAGCCTTCTGTGGACTCCAGAGCGTGTGACTTTCTGTTGTGAGCATCACCTGTCAGGCACTCACCTCCTAGTGCCTGGTAATAGGTTTGTTCATGGACGTGTAAATCCACAAGATTTTAAACACTGTGAAGCCATTCACTGACCAAATCTTATACTTCTTTATGTGTATAGTCTCTGCACAAATAGACTACGAATGCACATTAAAAATTTCAGCAAATGAATAAGTCACAAATGCCCTGGTATTGGTCATTGAAATGCACTTCCAAATTCTCTAGTGTACAATCTAGTCTAGCTTTATCCCTGCAAATTGAACAGACCTTGTGGTTAAGATGGCTGCCCTGGATGTTGGGTTCACCCACCTCCTGCCTACGATTATTTTATTGTAAGAAATTTCCCTTCTATCTTAAAGGAGGCAAGATAAAGAACCATGAACAGAAGCATGCTTTCCTGCTTGCTGACTGTCTCTGGGGCCCAAACATATGACACAGGGAGGTCTTCACTCCTCCGGGGGTCACCCAAAACCAGTGCCTTTGATGAAATGACTGAATTATTAAAGCAGCACTTCTTACTCTCCCATGTGTCTTTGTTCAAAGATCCAATTTCATGAATGAAGTCATCGACCTGATGAGGGTCTGCTGGACAATTCCCAGAGCTGAGCATCCGGTCTCAGCCCTGGGACGGGAGGGATGTCTTGGATGACTTGCCGCAGCATTGCTTCCTGTGTAACCCTCCAGTCCTGCCTCTTGTCTGAACCAAATTTGTCTTTTTTCATGGTCTAAAAACAGGGCTTCTTTCTCTCCATTTGGGAGAATGCTTTTTGAATGCATAAAATGAAAGCCACAGGAATTCAAAGGAAACAAATTATATTGAAATACAGTTATTTCGGGCTTCCCTGGTGGTGCAGTGGTTGGGAGTCCGCCTACCGATGCAGGGGACACGGGTTCGTGCCCCGGTCCGGGAGGATCCCACGTGCCGTGGAGCGGCTGAGCCCGTGAGCCATGGCAGCTGGGCCTGCATGTCCGGAGACTGTGCTCCGCGACGGGAGGGGCCGCGGCGGTGAGAGGCCCGCATACCGCAAGAAAAAGAAAGAAAGAAAGAAAGAAATACAGTTATTTCAATATTGTCAGTACAGTGATCAAAATATTTTTAAAATCAAATGTGTGATACAGTACAAGACTGCTGCTTTATTAACTCATCAAACTATAAGATTTAGCAGTGGCTCCAATAACTATTGCAATTTGAAAGTAATGAAAAATAGAAATGATTTCTCAAGGTACCTGCAACAATTGATGTGACATGAACATAGACGTGACTTTTATCAGGTCTAAGTCACAGGTACTAGTCATATGGCTGCGGCGTGTTTTGTACGTTCATGATGTATGGACGTATTAGATATCAGTTAGAGGTTAGTGGAAATAGCGATGTGACTTTCTTTTTTCCCCATCCAAGCTGATGGAGCACAGGTTAAGAACCTCTGGCTTCGAAGCAGCCCTAGTTCATGAGACCTCATTTCCACACATCTGTGAAATCAAAAGAGCAGTTGCCAATGAAGGAGGCCGTTCAGAGTACACACGTAGGAGGACTGAGTGGCAGCCGGTGCCTGTCCCAGAACTTTTGTAGGTTGTTTCAGAAATACCCCCTGGTGGTCAAGCGCCAAGACATGGCATCATATTTCCTCACAAATTCAAAGATGTAGAGTGTAATTTCAGCAAGAGGAGAAAGAAGTCCAAGACTTCTGTAGCTTCCTACCTCACTTGACATCGAGTGGATTTGTATCTTCACATAACCACAAAAACCAGCATTTTATCACAAAGAGGGTTTAGGAATAGATGGTTCTGGGTGCCTTTGCAAGGACAGCAGTGTTCATCCCTGGCTGCCTGGGTGAGACAGAAGGCAATTCTGACCATGGATGTCCTCAGCTGTTAAACTAGCTGCCCCCCAAGTTTTTCAAAGACACTGGTCACAGTCCTGACATGCATGATAACATCGGTGATATATTTCTAGAAACAGTAATGCATTCCTTCCCAGAGACACCCAGTGCTCTGAGGAAGAAAATTGGTTTACAAAACTGAGACTTTGTTTTCGAAACTTTCCAGCTGCACAGAACTCAACCTCAGGAGTTTTCCCCAGCTTTGCTAAGCTACTTGAGGTACCAACATTTAAGAGTCAGAACCTCCAGCTTGCAAATCAATTCTAAATTCCTTTGCAGGGCTTCCCAGGTGGTGCAGTGGTTGGGAGTCCGCCTGCCGATGCAGGGGACGCGGGTTCGTGCCCCAGTCCGGGAGGATCCCACATTCCGCAGAGCGGCTGGGCCCGTGAGCCATGGCCGCTGGGCCTGTGCGTCCGGAGCCTGTGCTCCACAACGGGAGGGGCCACAGCAGTGAGAGACCCACGTAGCGAAAAAAAAAAAAAAAAGTAAATTCCTTTGCAAACAGAATCCAAATGGAAGCAGCCCCTGTCTGTGCTCACTGAGCTGCCCAGGCCATGCATCCGAGCCCTTAGCTGGGATGGAGGAAGAAGCTTGCAGATGCTGCCCTGGGGGGCAGGGGTGTGTGTGTGTGTGTGTGTGTGTGTCTGTCTGTCTGTCTGTCTGTCTGTGTGTCTGTGTGTGTGTGTGTGTCTGTGTGTGTGTGTGCACACGTGCAGGGGGATGGGACGGGGACTTCTGCTTAGAACACCAGAGGTGGCATTGAAAGCTTAAACTGGCCATGCTGCTGAAGGGCCACAGCACTTTTCTTTTTGATTTCTGACTGCAATTGCTCTGTTTAGGTCCTCAGACACTGAGGAGGTAGGGTGCGAGTGGTTAGATATCTAACCACAGGCATAGATGATGTGGCTCCTCTGCCTTTACTGTTCCTCAACATTAGAGTGAGGAGGGGATGCTTGTCAAACCCAAGAATCATTTTGAGGGCCTCAGGGCATGGCAGCAGGAACTCTGCCTCATTCACTTTGAGTACAGCTGAGCTCCTGAGCTCTTTTTTTTTTTTTTTTTTTTTTTTTTTTTTTTTTTGGCGGTATGCGGGCCTCTCACTGTTGTGGCCTCTCCCGTTGCGGAGCACAGGCCCCGGACGCGCAGGCTCAGCGGCCATGGCTCACGGGCCCAGCCGCTTCGCGGCATTTGGGATCTTCCCGGACCGGGGCACGAACCCGTGTCCCCTGCATCGGCAGGTGGACTCTCAACCACTGCACCACCAGGGAAGCCCTCCTGAGCTCTTTTTGCCCCAAATTCTTATTAAGAAAAAATTCAGCCCTTCAGAAAAGTCAAGCCTAGTGTGTTGAACATCATATACCTTTATTTAGACTTATCATTTGGTAATGTTTTGCCATATTTGCTTTTCTTCTCTTGCATATGCTCGATTTTTTTTCCTTTTTTACTCAGTCATTTGATAGTAAATGGTAGATAACATTGCCATTTCACCCCATAAATATTTTAGCACAGATCCTTTAATGATAACCTATGTAACATGTGTATCCCTTGCATAACCACACACCATTATCACATCTAAGAAAATTACCAGTCCTCCTATAGAATTATCTAGTATCCTGTGCATTTTCAAATTTCCCTTATTTGGCCCAATGATGTCTTTTATAACTGTTTTAGTTGATTTACTTTCAAATCAGAATGGAATCAAAGTTAACACATTGCATTTGGTTGTTATGTCACTTTAATCTCTTTTATCTAAAATTTTTTTTCCCATAATTCTACTGCCTTTTTATAGAATCCAGGCCAGTTCTTTTAGACTCTCCCACATTCTGGATTTATCTGACTGTTTATGATATAACTTAACTTGGTCTTCTATGATCTAAATTGCCGGTACACTAGAAGGCTTGCTTAGGCTTAGGCTAAACATTTTGTGACGATTTGCTACATACGTGTAACTCACTGCAAACAGGTAAATGCCTCCCATTTGAGCAGTGGTTGTCCACTGCTGTGAGAACATCCTGTGCTTTGAAAGAAATGTAGCCCTAACACTGGTCTCCTGTGCTCTTCTTAGAACATGTGCACCATTGAAGCAGAGCTGGAGAAGCAGCTGGGGGAGTTCTCCATCAAGATGAAAGGTATTCTTCCTCCTTTTTATAGAGCGGGGTGCCATCTCCGCCTAGCTCCTTGAAGTGTGATGACATCACACACTGTTTTTATTTTCCTTGCAAAGATATTGGGCCACTCTCTCTCACCCCTCCCCACTTATGTTAATTTATTGATGCTCCAGAACCTTCTCGTCCCGAGACTTGGCTACATACTTAAATATTTACTGTGACAGGATCTCAAACATACACAAACATGGAAGAATATTATAAGGAACTCCCATAGACCCATCACCTCCATTTAATAATTAGCAAGATTTTGCCACCTTTGCTTCATCTGTTTTCTTGTCTTTGTTTTTCCTTTGATGAAATAAAACCCAGATGTAGGAGTCTCTCCCTGTAGACTGCGATGTGCCTCTCTTAAAGAATAGGGACATCTTATGATAGGGACACCACAGTACCAAGTATTATCACTTCTAATAAAATGAATATGCCTTTGTTATGAATCCATTCCATTAGCAAATGACCTGGTGGTCTCAAAAGTGAGTTATACAGTTGTTCAAATCAGGATTCAAATGAGGTCCATGCATTATCATTGGTCGTTAGATATCTCTTTCCAGTTTCCTTTCATCAAAAACAGACACCTCCTTGTTTTTTTCCTACCACTGACTTGTCATGTTGAAGCTGTTGTCACTTTCATCATGTTGTCACTGTTGTACAGAATGTTCCACGTTCTAGACTTGTCTGTTGGCTTCTTGGTGGTGTCAGTTAGTTTGTTCCTTTATGTTCTACTTTCCTATAAACGACCTACCAACTTCTTTATTTTTAAATGTTTTTTAGTGTTAAACCCACATAGGACTGTGCATTTTCCTCTTTTTCCCAGTGCCTTTCTGGTGTTGACTCCAGGAAGTCCTACTCTTAAAGCATTGTACTGCAAGCATCTTCAGAACAAAAAGAAGCTCTAGTTGTAGAAAATGGAGCATCCTTCAGGTGTTGTCAGATTTACAACTCAGTGGCCAACAGGGCTTCAGATGAGCAGCCATCACAGCGAGTCCATCTTCCTTCTGAGTTTGGGCCACTCACCCACTCACCGCAGGGAGAAGGGCTAGTTTGTGTGCCTTTCCTTTTCTGAGGTTTCTTAGCAGCTGGATCCCTGGGTTGCTAATGGGGATTTAATCACCCTTTTGTCTGCTTTTTGCCATTAAGGGAGTAGAAAAGGGGCGCTTTTTTTTTAAGTGCTCGACAGGAGAGCTTAATTTTCCAATGAGTCACCTAACTCAGGAGGCAAAGTGTTCTGTCAAGTGTGATGCCCATAGAGCTGCTCTGGTTGAGTGTACCTGCAATCAACATGACCTTGACCCTCAGCTGCCCACATGGCTGCGTTCTTCTCTCCAGCAGATCTCGTAGTGAATCAGTCTGTTATTCAGTATGAAGTCTCAATACTTACTTTACTACTGAGACGGGACATCTGTGCTTTTTCAGTTTTTTAGGTCCTTTCTCTTCACTGTGGGTCCTCACTGAGTCAGTGGTTCTAAAACCACTCAGGCCCTACCCCCATCTCAGCAAGTCAGAGCAGGGCCCTGGCACCAAGGAGCTCCACAGCTCTCTTTCCAGCATTCTCTCATTCTAAGGCAGGGGTTACAATGGGAAGCCGTCCTCTTCCCTGTTTCCCTCCCCCAAGATAGGTGGGTGGCACCCTTCGGGTATATTTTTCATCCTCGGGATGATTCTGTCAGCAGCCTGCTTCTGGAAAACCACTGCCCTGAGTCAGTGTTTAGCAGAAAACACTTCTCTCTCCTTCCCCTAACTCTCGGGCACCCTCCACGCAGGCTAGCACAGTCTGGGGTCTTACAGCTGAGAGAAATTCCCATCATGCCTCTTCTCACTGTTAATACAAGCAGTACCGTATTTCCCCTATTTCTGATGCTCACTATTATCAAACTCACCAATTTGGGGTGAGTTGGCAATTTCCCCATTTTGTCGATGGGGAGTGGGGTTAAGTGACTTGTCCCAGAAGTCACACGGTATGTTGGAGTCAAACTGGAAACTGAATTCCAGAGCTCGTGGCTCCCAGTGCATTCCCGTCCCCCAGCCCCATATGAGGAGGGAAGTTCTAACAAAGGTGAACAGATACTATAAACTATTGCTCACAACATGTTCTTGTCTATGGGACGGTAGTCTTCCACCCAGCACACAGGCACCCAGGAGTGGGTGGGAGGAAAGGGACAGCCACCCACCAGACCTGGACCTCAGGCCTGAGGGTCAGTGAGGATGCTCTGGGGGCCCTACCATCCACCGGGGGGCCTGGCTGCCCAACTAAAGAACGGCTCTGGATTATGATGGGCTGTCATGACGGATGGGCTCAACTTGCTGCCGCCCCTGCTATTCCAGCTCTACCCTCAGCGTGGTTCTCTCTTTCCTGCCCGACGGGCTTCCCTGGCTTCTGTCTGGGTTCAGGGTTTCTCCAAGGGGGGTCACTCAAACCTGCAAGTGATCCTCCTTTTTCATTATTGATTTATCTCACTTCCACTTTCCTAATCTAACATGAAAACTTGAACTATTTCTATGAAGCCTTTCAGGGGTAACACCCCTGTGGAAATCTTCCTCTCTCTTGATAAAAGGGAGCCTCTCACGCTGCCAAGAAATCTTGCATCTTTGCAGTTACCTACTTTCTTATCTGTTATTCATTCTGGTAAAAAAAAAAAAAATTACCACCCCCAACATACATAGTGACACAAGCTGAGGATCTTTCATAATATCCTCAGACCTGGTAAGCCAGCTTCCTCCTGCCACACCCTTCCCCAACACACAGACAGCAATCATTCTGTGGGGTTTTGGAGGGGCGGGGTAGGTGATGATGGTATAGACAATTGAGCCTGCTGTTGGCCAGGCTCTTGGCTGCATCCTAGTGAATGGTCTCTGGCCTTGACTTCCACACAGTCTACTGGAGACAGTGGTTGCATGAGCCAGTCCAATCTAATTCCATGGAATAAATGATCTACTGGATCAATAATGTGGCCAATTGCTTCGATGCCTGGGGGGCGGGGGGGTGGCAGGAGGGGGCGCAAACGGTGCCACCCGCCTATCTTGTGGGAGGGAAATGGGGAAGAGGAAGGCTTCCCGCTGTAACCTCTGCATTCGAATGAGAGGACCCTGGGAAGAGAGTTGTGGAACTCCTCGATGCCAGATTTTGAAGAGGGTCCAACGCCAGGCTAAAGAGGGAGCACCAGGCCCATCCACCAATTTGCAGACGGAAAGACGTGGTCTGTTACAGAAAACCACTTCTCCTCCCAGGTGTTACCTGCTTCATATTAAGTTCCAGGCAGTGTGTATATCCAAAAGTCTGTGTTGGCACCTGCAGCTTTTAGGGCAGGTCCGGCCTTGGGAGAGGGGACATCTACCAGGGAGCTAGTAAATCTGCATTATTTCTGCCTGGTCAGTAAATCAGTCAGTCCTGTAATGGGAGCGCCTATCTATTCAGCTGTCTGGCTGTTTTCCTTGGAGTAGAAAGTGTCACTTCCTTAGCTTCAGAATCGATCCCCCCCAGTGCTAAAATTGTCACGAATATCCAACCAGCCTTTTCTCTGTGTATACGCTGCCTGCCAACATGTGTGATCTTTTTTATCTTTGGAAAGGAAGATCCTCACAGAACTAGAAAAAAAGGCGGCACATTCTTCTGGCAGAATGGTCCCTGAGCAAAAGAAGAACAGGGTGGGCGGTTGCAGACTGTAGCATCTGGGCCTTCGGAATGAGGTCATGGAAGAGCTGTTTAATCAGTAATAGATGTTTACAGTAAAACATCCACAAGGTGCAGGAAGATGCACCATGGAGATTAAAGTCCCCTCAGCCCCTCCACTTGCCCATGCTCATCCCTGGGTGCTAAACCCCCATGATGGTTTTTGGAGTGGCCATAATGAAAGCTTTGTAGACAGTGCAGCAGTAATCCCCAAACTGCTGAGAAAACACGAAACTTTCCCCAACTGAAAATCCCAACAGGCCTCAGACCAGAGTCTGAAAGAAACCTGGCCAGGTTTAAAAGATACAAGGCGGTAACTCTAATTGACCCACGGTTAGTTTCAATTCTGCAATCAGTACCATGAGTGGCTTACATTAGCAGGTAGGACTTGAAGAATCATAGCACAGCCCCAGGCCTGTTTTTGCCTGTCTACTGCCACGTGCCACGTTATGGTTATAATCAGAGTATCAGAGTGATACCCCCTCAAGCATTGCCAAAAAATTTTGCTTTAATAACATGAGCTGAGAAGCTCAAAAACATCACTACCAAGTAGCTTTCTCCCATCTGGATAAGTTCTTCCAATATGAAATTTCTGGTGATTTTGAAAGGAAAAAAGAAAAATAAAAACTCTCAAAGGATTTTCCCCTTTACTCTCCTTTATCCAGCACTGATATCAGATCAGTTTTTTAGGTTTTTTGTTTTGTTTTTTAACCAGGCTTCCACTGTAATTGCATAGGTATGTAAATAGGCGGTAGATAAATCCTGAATATTCTGCAGAGGTTTTTTTTTTTTTGGTTTTTTTTTTTTTAAAACATCTTTATTGGAGTATAATTGCTTTACAATGGTGTGTTAGTTTCTGCTGTATAACAAAGTGAATCAGCTCTACATATACATATATCCCCATATCTCCTCCCTCTTGTGTCTCCCTCCCACCCTCCCTATCCCACCCCTCTAGGTGGTCACAAAGCACCGAGCTGATCTCCCTGTGCCATGTGGCTGCTTCCCACTAGCTATTTTACATTTGGTAGTGTACATATGTCCATGCTACTCTCTCACATCGTCCCAGCCCACCCTTCCCCCTCCCCGTGTCCTCAAGTCCATACTCTATGTCTTCTGCAGAGGTTTTTAAAGAGTGTTTAGGACTTTATTAGCATTGGTATATCCAGCCAATTGTGATTTATAAAGATCAGTCGATTGTGCTTTTTTTCAGAAGTATTAAAAACAAAAGACTAATCCTCCAGAAAATTATTAGTGAAAATTGGCTTCTTTAATTCTGCTCTTATTTCAGTAAATCTTTTAAGAGGCTTGTTATGTTCTACTTGTTAGTGGAAACTGGTCCTCAATGGACCGGCTCCGTGGATGGAGAGGTGTGACGAACTGGTGAGTTGCTGCCATCTACTGACAGAGAGTGGTAACAGCAGGTGCCTTTTTAGGCCTCCCTGGACCTTCTCTATCATCTTAACCCTGGCATAGCCCGTTGAGACTGGTGCAAAGCAGATTCATCCGTCCCACAGTCTCACAACTTAACGGGGCTCTTCCTAGAAAGAACAGTCTTCTCTGCCCCAGAGAGCACCTCTCCCATCACCCCAGCAAGGAATATCCTCTCTTGCTGTGATAGATGGAATTCCCAACAATAGCTATACCCACAGTTGTTCCCCAGAAACTATTATATGAGTTTTCACAAAGGCCTGACACTTTGAGTCTTATCAGTGTGCCAGTGTGGGTTTATAAAGAGAGGAAATAAATTCTGCACCTCTGATCCCAGTTGCTTGCTTACAGGTCTGGCTGGTTTTGCTCGCCTCTGCCCTGGAGATCAATATGAAGTAAGTGTGGTGTCGTCGGTCTGGGTGTCGGACTTGAGAGGCAGGAGTCAGCTGTCATTATTTTGCTTCTTCAATTTTTTTTTACAATTTTGAAAAAGAAATTTGAGCCAATAAGTAATTTTGGAGATTAGTGTAAGACCTCCCATATACGGGTCACCTAGACAACCAGTTTTTAACGTTATGTCACATTTGCTTTATTATTATTAATACTATTATTGTTAATACTATTGTATTATTGTTAATTATTATTGTTAATACTATTAACAGTTATATAGTATTATTATTAATACTATTATTAATACTATTATTAATTACTATTATTATTAATACTATTATTGTTGTTCAAAATAGTTGCTGAACTATTTTAGATTAATGCACAGGTATCATGACCCTTCACCCCTAAATTATTTTCCTGAGGGAATTTCCTGGCGGTCCGGTGGTTAAGACTTGGCACTTTCAGTGCCTTGGCCCAGGTTCAATCCCTGGTTGGGGAAGTAAGATCCTGCAAGCAGTGCGGCACAGCCAAAAAAAAAATTATTTTCCTGAATGTGGAAAGACATTCTCTCATATAAACGTTGTACAGTTCTCTACACCAACAAACTTAGCACTGGCCCTTTAGCTAATGTCATTTGATGTACAATCTATATTCATATTTTTCCAAGTGTCCCAATATTGTACTTGATAGCAGTTTTTTTTTCCTGATGCAAGATCCAATCCAGGATTATGACTACTCAAAAGTATCATGATTGAAGAATAATAGAATCTAGATCTTTCTTTATAAAAATATACTCCATAAAAGTAAAAAAGCTTTTTATCTTTTCCCTCTTCAGAAGGGAACTTACATAATGATTTCATCTAACTATCTCCTCCAAAACCTTCTATAATCATTCATCTTGGCCGGGGGTGGTGAGGGGGAATGTGTCTTCCCCTAAGCAGTAAAGCTGTCTGACTGAGGAGAAACTGCACACCCTCCCCCCAGAGTGTGTCAGATTTCAAAATCCTTGTCCAGACCTGTCTCCCTTATCCACAAGAAGGATGCCCTACTTCTTGCTTCTGGACACTAAGTAGATTTTAGCTGATGGTTCCTTGTCTTTCTGAAGGAGCTGGGGAGTATGGAGAATTAATCCAGTGGTTGTTCTACTGAAGGAGAACTAACGAGAGAAAGAGCTGAGCCAAAGGGCACGATGCAGTGACCTTGCTCTAAAGAAAGCCCTTCATACGCTCTATCCTAGAGAAACAGAACTTAACCCCTTTGAAAGCCCTTCCCGGCTGGTGCTCTGCTCCACGCCCCCTGCCAGGGAATTTGGAAGAAGCGACAGTCAGTGGGTGTCATGAGGATGCTGGAGAAGGGGAGGAACAGTAGCTGCTGTATTTACTCGCCTTTTTCATCCTGGTGTTTGGTGGGAAGGCGGGTGAGGGCCGTGGAACCTGAGGGCCCTTTGGTGTCTTTCCCCAGATTTTCATGAAGTATGGCCGACAGAGGTGGAAACTGAAAGGCAGAATAGAAGTAAATGGCAAACAGACCTGGGATGGAGAAGAAATGGTGTTCCTGCCCCTGATAATTGGATTAATTTCCATCAAGGTACAATATCGTCATTGCAGTTTGTTGTCTTTGCTGGTGCCACGGCTGGATGGTCCCTCGTGGAGACCTGTGCCCGTGATTTCTGCCTGCTGCCCCTCCAGCCCACAGACCTCTGTATGTACTGCAGGTACATCAGAAGACTTGCCCTCGTGTCAGAGCAGGCGATGGAAATGTGAGATGGGCTTGGGAAACATCCACCTCTGATTTCAGATATGGTTCTGAAATGCCTGCCCTGGCCAAGAAGAACAAAGGAGAGAGTAACCTGGCTTCGTCCTCTGCACTCCTGTAAGGCCTTTCTTACCTCTCCCTCTCTCCCCAGGTCACAGAACTCAAAGGGCTAGCAACTCATCTCCTGGTCGGCAGTGTGACCTGCGAGACCAAAGAGCTGTTTGCAGCCCGACCTCAGGTGGTGGCTGTGGACATCAATGACCTTGGCACCATCAAACTCAACCTGGAAATCACCTGGTAGTAAGTTGCCCCTTTCAATATCATCATGATAGAAACAAGTGCTGTAGGCTCGTGCTGTCCCAAGGGTGGCGTGTGGACCATCAGAATCACTGGGGAGCTTGGTACGAAAGCAGAGTCTCAGGCCCCACCCCAGACTCGCTGTGTCAGAATCTTTCAGGGCCCAGGAATCTCTTGAATAAGCTGGGTGACGTTCACACAGGTTAAGGGAGCGCCCTCTGCCGTCTCACTACTCTCCTCTTCAACTTCCTATTTTTAAATATTTTATTCTGTCTTGTCCCCTCCTTCTCAACCTTCAGATGTGTATACAGAAGTATATCTCTCACGTCCACTAATCTGAAAGAAAATAACTGTCCAGTATGAGATATTTTATCCACAGAAAGATCCTGATTCTCGCTATGCTGTTTTAATTGCTTAAGCCCTCTTTATCTCAGATACCTGACACTGCTTTGGAAATTTTTGGAGATCCTTAGTCTCTCCACACTCTATATACTGAAACAGAATATTTCCAAAGGGCCAGAGATACCTTTTGTCAAAGCAGGGAACTTAAAAGTGGTTTTCTGAAGTCACCCCATGAGAAAGGTCATGATAAGCTATTAAATACTGGTTGCTCACAACATCTGATCTTATGCCCCTGGTATATTACCAAGTAACTAGGACATGTTCAGTATTAATGTTTGGGGCCACCTTTACAATATCGAGGGTCAGGCATGGAAGCAGCAAAGACATGTTGCCTTGTTACTGGAACAGTGTCCACAGCTTTTGCCCAGCCCATCTCTCCTCGTAACTTGTAATGATTGACGTCTCAAATGCAAGATCAGTGCTTCTGCTGGAGGAGCACATGGCATGCTGATAAATGGCATCATTGTGAACAGACTGTTATCCTCTCAGTCACACAACAGGCTCTGGGTCCACTGAAAGGAATAGGAGAGTTTTCTGTAGAACCGAACAATAATCTGTTGCTCTCTTGTATCATTAAAGCGTCTGCCCTTGCAAAGCTCCAGGAATTTTTACAGACTTCTTCAACGTCTCGTGTTGGGACAAACATTAATACATTTGTGTCTCTAATACGAATGAGGAAACAAATTTATCTGGTGTGCAGGCGTGCACATAAATTGTGCTTAAAGCTGTGATGATAATCTGGGGTCCCTTGGGTGAGTCTAGACCCTGTTTTCTGCTGTTACCTTGGTTTGTTTGCTGACAGACCAATTTGGCCAAAACCAGCCCAGTTCCCACTGGTTTGAGTTTATGTTAATATAATGAGGTGCTTTCTTGGCCTGCGGACCGGTGATTATAGGTGACTTTAACAAACGTGTGTTCATGGGGACCTGTTGTTTTGCAGTCCGTTTGACGTGGAGGACATGACCCCATCCTCAGGCGCTGGGAACAAGGCAGCCGCCCTCCAGAGAAGAATGTCCATGTACAGCCAGGGCACCCCAGAAACGCCCACCTTCAAAGACCACTCCTTCTTTGTAAGTTCAGTGTGATTTCTAGAGGAGAAATGATGAGCCTGAGGCAGTGCTTGCACCCAGGGTTTGAAATGCTTAATATACGGTGTTAGGGAGTCTCTATAATTCCTAATACAGTTGTCCCTCAATATCCGAGAGGGATTGGTTCCAAGAACCCCCCTTTGATACCAAAATCCTAGGATGCTCGAGTCTGTTATGTTAAATGGCATAGTGTTTGCACATAACCTATGCACATCCTCCCGGATACTTTAGATCACCTCTAGATTACTTATAATACCTAATGCAATATAAATGCTATGTAAATAGTTACCAGCAAATTGGCAAATTCAAGTTTTGCTTTTTTGGAACTGTCTGGAATTTTTTTCTTTTTTCTTTTTTCTTTTTTTTTTGCGGTACGCGGGCCTCTCACCTCTGCGGCCTCTCCCGTCGCGGAGCACAGGCTCCGGACGCGCAGGCTCAGCGGGCATGGCTCACAGGCCCAGACGCTCCGCGGCACGTGGGATCTTCCCGGACCGGGGCACGAAACCGCGTCCCCTGCACCGGCATTCGTACTCTCAACCACTGCGCCACCAGCACGAAACCGGTCCCCTGCACCGGCATTCGTACTCTCAACCACTGCGCCACCAGGGAAGCCCCTGGAATTTGTTTTTCATGGATGCATAACCCTTGGATACGGAGGGCTGACTGTAATGTCATCTTCAAGTTCACCCTAAGCACATGGTGACTGAGGAAAGCACATTCCGAGATGTCTGTGGCCACCCGCGCACAGGTGGTAAACCTCCTGTGGCTCTCCTGTCCTCTCCCCCAACTTAACCTGTTGCTTGGTAAACACACGTAGACTTTTCTGCACATTCTCTAAGATCAGACTTTTAAAGAAGTGGGTGTAAATAATGGCCTCCTTGTTTTAATCAGAAATGCTCGGTAAAAAGCTGACAAAAACATGGTAACCTGCTGCTTTCCACTAACTCCCCCATTTTGCTTTGACTTCTGAAGAGATGGTTGCACCCTTCACCAGACAAGCCAAGGCTGTCTGTCTTGAGTGTCTTGCAAGAGTCTTTCTTTGCCAAGTTGCACCGCAGCCGCTCTTTCAGTGACCTGCCCTCCCTCAGGCTGAGACCCAAGGCCGTGCTAGAGTTTTATGTGAGTGTGTGTGGCCCGCCTGGGTGTGACGTGCTTGCTGTAGGGGGCTTGTGGCATGTGGCCTTTGGCATGGCTCTTGTTTTATCTTCTCTCTCGCTCATTGGCTAACAGTTACAGGCCTCCTGTCCCTGGGTGGGAAATTTGGGCATGCATGCGCCTCTGTGAGAGAGGCCGTTTGTCCTTCCCTGCTCATCATCTCTGCTTTTGTGCTGTGACTTTTCTGTGCTGTGGCAAAGATATCCATGGTAACAATATTGTCATTTAAAAAAAAATACAATTGCACTCAAGGTCAAAGAAGATTTTCGTTCACAAGTTAAGCTAATGTATCACTAATAGCAATCTTTACAGTTGTAGCCTTCAAAACCTGGCATTGGATTTAAACCAATTTTCCCAAAACTATTTTTATTGAAAGAGGTTCTTAGCCTTAATTTATTGTATTGTTTGCTAGTTTTATACCATCGAAGTAAAAGAAGCTCTTTAATTTGCAATCAGGAATGTAATAGGTAACCTACATTATATGTGTTATCCATTACGTCACAAGAGAATACGCATACACATATGTACATACATACCTGGAATGTTCTGCCGTTTACAGACATATAAAAGTAATCTTTGAATGTCCAGAGAGGAAAGGGTTAAAAGTCTTCTGGTTAATAATAATAATAACTGTTATACTCCAATAAAGATGTTTAAAAAAAAAAGTGCACCTCGAGACTAACTGGCAAAGCCTAAATTAGTAGAGAGACTGATTATAGAGGAGTTTGAAATAGATTTTTTTAAATCACTTTCAAGTACCCACTCTGCATTCTCAAATGAGGTAAAAGAATGTTGCATTAGTAAGATATCTTTTAAAATATACTTTAAATAAAAGTTAAAAATAGATTTATTTTTCTTTCTAAATGACTACTTGAAACGCATTTTTTCTTTTTCTTCCAAAAAAAAAAAAATAAATCAATAACCATCCAAAAAATAATAATAATAATTGCATCTTATTCATTGGATTAAAAACACAGGTGAAATGGACCAGGCTAAACTCTAGTGGAGTTTTCACGGAAAATGGGAAAGATATGCACGTGCCAGAGAAGAGTAGAGCTGATGCAATAACTGTCAATGTCATGTGTGTATTCATGCTCATACGCTGCAAGTTGGAGGGTGTGGAGATGGTTAGTAGAGATTTTAATTGCATCATGTAAACAAGAGCAAGATTAGAAAAGAATGTGATGGCTTCCTATAGCCTTTTGGATAAACGCAAACTCCTCGGAGCAGCCGTTCCATTCCGGCCCAGTTTTCCAGGCCCACCTCTCGTCTCTCCAGGCTTCATTCTCTGCCTGACTGCCCCCCCCGCCGACCCCGAGCCCCCCTCACTGTCCTCCACATGCACCCTCCCTCTCAAGAGCTCCCACAGCCTGTTGTTCCTTCTAGGACGCACTTCCTCCTCCTTCTGCCCTTCTCCGCATTTTCCAGAGCTGAGTTCCAGACCCTCTCTCTCCTGAGCAGCCACCACCCCCTGCCGGGGCTCCTACCACCCTGCAGCATCCCTACATCACCCCTCAGTTACAGCACGCCTTCCCCATGTGCCCGTTTATAGGCTCGCGCTCTTGGCAGGCTGTACGTCCCCTTCAGCAGGGCATCTCAGTCTAACTGGATATTTGCCACTTAAGTACATGCAAATTGGGTTTGGGAATGTGAGACTTGAGAGAAAGGAGTTTGGAATTTAAATAAGAATCGTGACCACCAGGCCGGCTCCTTACTTAGCCAGCGCCTCCCGCCTCCCTCAGAGCTGCTCGGAATGTGTGTTCTGAAGACGAGCTGAGGCTGGGCAGGAGCGCTAAGAGGACCCAGGGCTTCTGTGAGATCCCCAGGGGACCCCACGGAGGAAGTGCAGGGAGCAGGACTCAGCCTTCCCCCGTCCCTCCCCAGAAACTTCCTTTTTTTTCTGTCCTGGAGATATAAAGCATGTTCGGGGGGGAAAAGGGGGGTGCAGATACAGGAGGAAGGAAACTGAAGTTAAGGAGGCTGGAAGTAGTGGGTCGCACGGGGACCCACCCCCTCCCCGTCCCCGCCCAAGGACGGTCCCTGGAACTCCCTCCCCCTCCTCCCCCGCCCCCCCAGGACTCTGGAGCACAGTTCAATAATCACTAATCCAGGAAAACATTCTCACTTTTCGAGGCAAAGAAACTGAGCCTGCAGGTTACTTGAGTGCCCCAGTGACACATCCTTTTACTCATCCTGTGGTTAAAGTAAAAAACCTTCCAACCAGATGAGAATGGAGAGTTTGAGTTGAAACTGCATGTATTGGGAGCTGGTGGCCCAGATCCAGCAGTGATGGGACCATGGACGCTGCTGGAGGAGGATGGGGAGCCTCTTTCTGTCTGCTCCCCATTTCACTTGCTGTAACATTTTTGTTTTCTGGGCTAATTCCCAGCACTATCGTGATCATTCATTGTTTTATTTATTTATTTATTTATTTTTTTTTTTAATTTTTATTTTTTTTGCGGTACGTGGGCCTCTCACTGTTGTGGCCTCTTCCGTTGCGGAGCACAGGCTCCGGACGCGCAGGCTCAGCGGCCATGGCTCACGGGCCCAGCCACTTCGCGGCATGTGGGATCTTCCCGGACCAGGGCACGAACCCACGTCCCCTGTATCGGCAGGCGGACTCTCAACCACTGCGCCACCAGGGAAGCCCTATTATTTTTTTTTGGCCGCACCACGCAGCGTGCGGGATCTCAGTTCCCCCACCAGGGATCGTGGAGCCCACGCCCCCTGCAGTGGAAGTGCGGAGTCCTAACCACTGGACTGCCAGGGAGTTCCCTCATTGTTTTATGTATAATTAAAATAGGTACTTACCTTTACTTAAACAATCAATTCTGGAATTCAAGAGAGAGTATTCATTTTGAAGGAGTTGATCTCAAATAACTAAAAAATTTTCACACAGAGCAACATTTAGCACTTCGCCAAGACCACTGTGTCAGGAAAGGTGACTTAGAAATTGCTTTAACGCCTCTGCATAAACAAATTATCTTGGTTACCTGGATGTTTCTGACCTCTGTCTTCTGAGTTCTGCTTCACGGATCACAGAGCCTGGGGCTGCCTGACAGACCACTTTGGGATTTCTAGACACCCTGGGAGCTCTGGGGTTTGCAGCCCTGGAAGATAGTTGTTCAGTTTATCAGTCTTTTTCTCCTCTTTTTATAGAAGCTCTGTGCACGTATTTCTGGTCTTGAATTGTTTGTGGCATGGTTACTGAATTAATAAAACTTTTTCCAGGGCTTGGGATTTGTGGGTAGAGATTTTCAAAAAATAATTTTATGAGAACTGAAGCAGAACAAAGCATCACATCTTTTGAGTGAAATAGCAAGAATGTTGTAAAGTCTTTTAAGATCGATGCCAAAAAACAAAAAAATCAAAACAAAACAAAAAAAAACGGTGGTGCTATTCTTAACTATGGCTGCCAAATATTGTGAGATCCTGGGATTTGGGAAACAAGCACCACTCCCCTGCCTCCAACCTCTTCTTTTGAAAAATGTCAAACCTGAGAATAGTGCAATGAACTTTCACCTAGATTCAACAATGGTAATAGTGTTTTTAAAGGCTTGTTTTCTTTTGCCACGCATGTGCGCGCACACACACACACAAAATCAACAATACAATGTTAATATCATGAAAGGTCTGTTTTTAAAATTTTAATTGTCTTACATTTTGTCTGGAAATGAACCATGCCAAATGCATCACTTGTATTTAAAATCGTAATGATTTGCCTTTTATCCGCAGTCGAATCTACCTGATGACATCCTTGAAAATGGGAAGGCAGCTGGGGAGAAAATGCCACTGTCCCTCAGCCTCAGTGACCTGCCCAATGGGGACTGCACCCTCTCCCACAGCCCAGGCGGCCCTCTCCCCAGCGCGTGCTCGGCAAATCCAGAAATCACCATCACCCCCGCAGATCTGAACCGCGACAGCCCCTCCTCCCAGAATGAGGGCCTGGATGACTCCAGCTCGGCCTCTTCCAAGAGCTCCTTGGGAGAAGGCTCAGAGCCCAGGCCCTTCCGGGAGGAAGAGACCGAGGGGCCCGGGAAACCCGAGGCCTGCAGAGCACCCGCGGGTGCCCGGACGGAGCGCCTATTCCTGGGGAAGGGTGTCGCAGAGGCCCTTCTGCAAGAGTCTGACGAGGCCTCTGAACTCAAGCCCGTGGAACTGGACACTTTTGAAGGAAACATCACGAAGCAGCTGGTCAAGAGGCTCACCTCGTCAGAGGTGCCGGCAGCCACCGAGAGGCTGCTCTTTGAGGGCTCTGTCAGTGGAGAGTCCGAAGGCTGTAGATCCTTCCTAGATGGAAGCTTAGAGGATGCCTTTAATGGGCTTTTCCTTGCATTAGAACCACATAAAGAGCAGTATAAAGAGTTTCAGGATCTGAACCAAGAAGTCATGCACTTGGATGACATTCTAAAAGTAAGTACATTTTTAGGGAAATTGGCTTAGGTCTGGAGACAGGTATCTTCAGCCAACATTCTATTTAAAACAGCCTTTTTTTTTTTTTTTTAATCCTGCCCCATCACAGGATCAGTAGATAATCATCACGTAAATGACACTGATTTTTAATACTAGTAGCATATATTTATTTTCCTGACAACTGATCAACTTAAGGAAAATGATTAGAAGTTAAATTAACAGCTCTAGAGAACGTCTAAATTCCCTCAGTCCCTAAGTTCATCATTCAGATCCCAAATGTGAAATGGTGGCCTTTTGGGCATCATAATCTCATTGAGATGCTCCTGGAGAGGGTACCTCTCTGAGTATCAGGGAAGCAGGAAAGCCCTCCATGGTTGAAGACAGAGTTAGGCAGTACAGATGTGAGAGCCACGGGCATCTCTCCCCTGCCCAGGGCGCCACCTCCTGGAGGATTCCCTTCTCTGCAATTGGCCCAGATCGGTGAGTCGGAACCCCAGATAATCACCCACGAATAATCTAGAAGCCAGAGAACCCTGACTCCACCAGAGTTATCTTCCTCTCTCCTGTTCCTAATCAGACCCCTAGGATAGACATGGGAAGATAGGAGTGAGGGGGTGATTTCCTCTTAGGCAGGAGGTCCTAGCAATGAGATCGTTAATGCTACCCCAGAATGTATCTGTCTCCACTTGGCATACAGATGAAATTTTTAAAAACAAGGCACAAGAAGACAGAACTGGAATTTTTGTCCCGAATCCCACTGCCACTTCTTGTATTCTTTGCTTTGCCACTCTGATTTATAGTGCCATAGAGAAGAGAACTTGGATCTTTTCTCTTGAAAGAGCAGTTCTTTGAGAACCTGTTCTATAAAATAAGCTTGAAAATACGGTGTCAGGGGCAAGTCAACCCACAGCAGGCTGTTGCATCCCTTGGCGTGATGGTTTTAAAATGTGGCCTTCCCCGTGGCATCTGGAACAACTTTCCCAAGGCTTTTCTCAGTCTCGGCCACGCTGACCTATGTCTGGAGGGGACGTCTGCCCAGGGCAGATAATAATTCATGCTCTGACTCCCCACATCCTGTAATGCTCATGACAGATTGATTCAGCTGTAGGTATAGCCTCCAAGCAGTAAGGATGGGCATTCTGAATCTGCTTCCTGTAAAACATAACTCAAAAGCATCTGCTCAGGGCTCATGCATGGAGGCAGTTTGTCCAGCACTGCAGTGAAAACATCTTTTATCCCCTCAACAAGCTCATGTCAGCACAGTTGACCAGATTTTTCTTACTGGGAAAAAAAGTTGTTAAATGTAAAGAGCTGAGACACAATGGATCCACCTAAAGTGAATGCCTCAGATGCCTAGATGCCCCCATTTCCAGGCAGAGTCTAGGGTGCTGATCAGTTGCTCAATCCACCAAGAAGCGCTAAGCAAGTCGTCTGTTAGTCTTATAAAAACCTGGCGGCTATAGGTTTCTTTCCAGAGTAATTATTTCAATCTGCAGTTGTTCCAAAACTATCCCACTACTAAAATCCTTAACTGCCCCTTTCTTTATTTTGATCAGTATTTAAACACATCCATACTGTGCAAGATCAGGTTCTGCAATCTAGCTTAGGGAAGAAGACCCTGAAGTGGGTCGAGTCGGGACTGGCTCCTCCTCTCTCTCTGAGAGGGAAAAAACGGCATTAGAGTTGAGATCTGGGGCAAGTGGCTTTGTCTCCAGCCAGGATTAAAGCATCCACTGGACAAAGCTTTCTCTTTTTTCCCTCCTTCACATTCCTAGGATGCTAAACACCTTGAGGATCAGAAACTAAATGATGCTGCCTCTTGGACGGAGATCACTGAGGGCGAATGAAACAACTCTGATTTAAAAGACTGAAAGACCGTTTCCTATATGCTTTGTCTTGAGTGTCAGAGACTCAGATCCCTGCAAGGCCCTTCCGACCTTGTGTAATGAAGTCAGCAGGGAGTGCCATCTAACTGGATGGAGAACACTGAGTTCTTCTTACTTGCAGAATTTGTCCCATTCAGTAACCCCAGCATCCTCTTGACTATTTGGAAGAACCTCTCTCCATCTCTGTGCCCACAGCAACTGGAATTACCCTGTTTGTACGTTTCTGCTTAATATCCAGCAATGTAGAATTCTGCAGACCATAGAATGGGTTTGCTCACATAATTCCAGGGCCCAGTCAGGGAAGAAATGGAACTTGATCCTTCAAAGAGCCGCAGAGGAAGCACAGCTACTCCTTGTCATGCCCATGCCATTTATTTTCTCCTCGATGCTCAAAGAAAAATTACATGCTGTGAATGTAAAATTAATATTTAAGTGTACTTACCTAGGGAGTATGGATTAAGTGAATTCGAGTAGTTTTCTGTTTCTGGGATTTGTTTTGTGAATCCTTTAGAACAGGTGCCTTAGATAGCTCACCCCTGTCTCAGGACACTAAACATGTTGCCACTTGGAATTAGAGATTGCTTAGTAGTTGGCATTGACTGTGACTCCTTAGATTTGTCTGCCAGTTGCATTTTATTTGGGGTTGAGCATGAGGCGGAGAGAGTATAGCAGTTCTATTTCCCAAAGCCTTCTGATTGTAATATTTTTTAAACTGTTTAAAAATTTCAAACAGAAGTAGAAAGAATCAGATAATGGACCCTGATGTGCCCATCCCCCAGCCTCCACAGTGCTCAATTCATAGCCAGTCTTGTGTCTATTCTTCTGCCTGCTTCCTTCCCTCTGGATTGTTTTGGAACAAATCCTAGATATTGTGTCATTTTATCCACGGTTGTACTTTCTTTTAATAAGACGACTTTAAATGAATTTTTTAATGCCAACAAAAAAAAATAAAAGCTTGAAAAAAAGAAAGTGTCACATCTCCCGCTGGGTGTCTTTGTTGTGTTTCTCCTTCCGAATATGTTGATATTCTCCTTGGTACCTTCTACCTTTGCAGTGCAAGCCAGCAGTAAGCCGAAGCAGGTCTTCCAGTTTAAGTCTTACAGTTGAAAGTGCTTTAGAAAGCTTTGATTTTCTGAACACCTCTGATTTTGACGAGGAGGAGGAGGATGGTGATGAGGTTTGTAACGTTGGAGGAGGTGCTGACTCAGTATTTTCAGACACTGAGACTGAGAAAAATAGGTAAGTCTGAAGTTAGCATCTGCTTCTATTTCTACTGTCATAGCTGGTACAGCAGTTCTTTGTAGCTACCAGACAGGACCTGATACACATCTCCAGGAAGATAAAACATCTCCAGGAAGATACATGAATTGGCTTACAGTTCCTTTTCATTGTTAAGTACAACTTTTAAATATCATTCACCTCTTTTGGTGTTGTTCAAGGAAAATTAAATTGATTTTCTTCCTTATAAATGAAGGGGAGATTTTTGTATGAGTGTGTGTGTATATTTATGTGTATACACATACATCTTGTAGGTTTCAGTGTCTACAACTTGTCCCCAATGTAATTAATTCCAAATTAAGTAGGTATACCATGTTTCTGGAGAACTCTTACTGGATCATCAGTTTGGACCTGGTTCTCCTTGATTTGCATCGTATTTCTAATTTCTTCATTTTGTTAGACTTTGCTTTTCCCACCCCTTATCTCTCCATTCCTTTTGGCCATTGGGTCTTTGCAGTAGATTAAGCTCATCAGTGCCTATATCAAAGCCAGGTTTAAGCCCCGTGGTTCATGTTTTCCTTAGAGCGTAAGAAGAGATGACTGATAACTGCCACTGGATCTGCAGGCCTCCAGCTGGAATGTGGCCTTCTCTAGGATGGGGATGGGACAGAGCAGTGGGAAGGGAGGATAAAGGTGAAATGTTGTCACCTTCTTTCTCCATTGGGCTTTCTTGTATCAAACCACGTATTTAGAGCTAGAGCCTGGGGTCCATTCTGTAAGCACAGTGAACATACTCAGCTCCATCAATTACTGCAAAGAAACAAAATACACAAACACTTTCCCAGAGGAAAAGGTGGGTTTCCATCCATCTTTTCTTTTGACATGTTATATACACTGATTTTCAAGTCACAACAAGCTATGGCTGTTCAACCTTAGCAAACCTCTCTGTGGGTGGTGTTAATATTTTGGAGTTTTGTTGTTCCTGGAGGGTTTCTTCTGCCAAAGTGAAAACAGGAAAAGAAAAAGTGAGAAATAGAATTTATCCTTTGAGCAAACTGGGGGCATAGCAAAGAAAATTTATGAAATGAATGTCATGTTTAAATTATCCTTTTACATTCTACAGTGAGATTTTTCTAACTTGGTTGAATTTGTGAAATGCTTCTTAAACCAAACATCTTGTGTACTTGTTAGCTTATGCTATTAGATGATCGATCAAGGTCAGATTAAACTTTTTTTCTTCTTGCTATAAGAAGCATTTTACCTTTTTTTTTTTTTTTTTTTTGTGGTACGCGGACCTCTCACTGTTGTGGCCTCTCCCATTGTGGAGCACAGGCTCCGGACGCGCAGGCTCAGCAGCCATGGCTCACGGGCCCAGCCGCTCCGTGGCATGTAGGATCTTCCCGGACCGGGGCACGAACCGGTATCCCCTGCATCGGCAGTCGGACTCTCAACCACTGTGCCACCAGGGAAGCCCCAAGAAGCATTTTAAAAACATCATAGCCTTTGTAAATTTTACAGAACATTGCTATTAAATATGTCTAATTTGATCAGTCTTACCGTATGTCATCAGAGGTATTATGGAAAATTGTGGAAATTGTGTGTGTGCTTTAAATATGTGCTGACTACCAGGACACAAGCTGAATGTTTTCCCCTTGGAGGCAAATGTGAATCAGAGTAAGGCATTCAACGCCTCTAAACTCTGGTACATTATCTTTTTAAATTGTGGAGACGGGGAGCATGAAACTAGAAGCCAAAAACTGCCTAGCTGTGTGAACGAGGAAGCTCTGGTTAACACCTCTGCTGGTCATTCCTTCCATGTGTGAAATGAGACTCTTCCCTCCCCCTCGCCCTCCTGCACAGATTCATATTAAGAATAAAATTAAATAATAGGTGCAACAGATTTATTTTTAAATGTAAGTGCCCATCATGATACAACTTTAGACAGTTCAACAGTGGGCTTTACACAAAGCCTGCGAGGCAGAACTAAGTGATACAAATGCCCCTTTTAGCTTTCGTCTGGAGTAGAACATCACGTTTCTTCCTAACAGCTTTCCTTTCTCCTTTTCTTCAAGTAGCAATTGATTTAAGGCCAGGGAAAAGCCTTGACTGATTATTTCTTAATGGTATTGCTCTTGGGAAACCACAGGTTCACAGGACAGTTTAATCCCAGAAAATCTGGCAAACCACTCCGTCAACAGAGCAGGAAAGTGCCACAAAATGAGGGCACATTTCAAAAGACTTCTTGGTGAGCCAACTTTACAGATGGTTCGTTGTGCTTGAGAAGCAAACAGAGAACTCTGGAAACAGTCTGTTTGCAGGATCTTTTTAATATTAGGCAAATTGGTGACCAGGCTTAGTTATAAAATAGTTTTTGAAAGGTATCTCTATTTTTCAAGATAGGCGAGCACAAGACTCTTCTCAGTGGGTGCTGTGATTGAGTTGACCTGTGATTACCATGCAGAAAGAACCAGCTAACATTTCGCTCACCTTCCTGCTTCAACAGTTACAGATCAGTACACCCGGAAGCCAGGGGGCACCTCAGCGAAGCCCTGACTGAGGACACGGGAGTCGGGACTAGTGTGGCAGGAAGCCCCCTCCCATTGACCACGGGAAATGAAAGCCTGGACCTCAGCATCATCAGGCACCTCCAGTACTGCACCCAACTCGTCCAGGTAGGACTGGTGACGGCACTGGGTTTTTAGAGCCCAGGTTGTTGATGCACCAAGAATGAATGTGTGCTTCCTTTTTTGAGTTTTCCCAGGAAAATGAGAATTCAGGAATAAGAGAACCATCCTGCTTTGATTTGACCCAACTCAGAAACTCTGAAAGGCATGGCCATGCTCCCTCAACCCTGGGTTTTCTATCTTAAAACCTAGATCCCCAGACTTTAACGGGTAGTAGGTGACATATAATGTGCTCTTGCTTTCAAATCATTTGATAATAGGTGAGAGTAGTGTGACTTTTTTTTAGATAAGGAATTTGCATTCTGCCATCTACAAGTGGACTCTGAAAGCCAGTATTATTGAACATACGTTAATATGAACCCATCACATGAGCTAGTTTTCTACCACCTGGACAGCTAAAGGCAAAATGCTCCAGAACATAACCACAGTTTCCCAGATCTTGAATAAGTACTTATTAGCAACAAGAAAGAACATTTTACAGGTATTATCGTCCTCACCAGTTCACTTTCATTCTGCGACACCCTGGGGCTCACTTTTCTTCTCATTTCAGGCTGTTTATCACTTAAGATTTTGCCACAGCAGAGCAACTATTCTGACATTCTTTTGTTGCAGGGAGAGTTTCAGCTGTCTTGAACAAAGCATTTACCCCCAAGCAGCTACTGGTACTTGAATGCTTCCTCCTCACCTGGTGTCTCGTCTTCTCCCAATCTTGTTCTCCCGCTTGCTTGGATGTGTGGGGAACAGGAAAAGAATGTGAAAATGTGAAAGCAAATGTATAATGGTTTCAGGGAGATGGGCCAGGCCAGAAGAGGAGGAATCGTGCTTTTAAGAGCACATGGCCAACTGGAAGACCAGAGGCAGGGTGAGGAGGAAGGACCCCAGGGAGGTCAGGAGTGGGTTAATGTTGCTTTTTTAGTAACACACTTGTGATGAGATATAGAAGAATCTGCTTCTCCACGAATGTAGGCCCTCAAAGCAGCCTCAGACACCTCACGTGCTCTGGGAAACTGGTTGGCAGTTATGACTCTTGCACTAGGTTGGCCAACACCCCAGCAGATCTCTTCTGTTGAGCGTTGAATTTACAAGCCAGGTGCTGACAACCAATCTGGCAGAAGGTGCAATTTTTTTTTTTTTTTCTGACCAAAATGGACAAAGATTGTCGTTGACTTATAGCTATCCTCTATTCACCAAGCACTGGAATGAGATGGTTTTCACAGCTCTTTGTCCTTGGTGAGCCCGAGACTGTGCTGAGCAAACTCCCCGTTCACCTTTTAGACGGAAAGTCATTACTTTGTGAGGCATGGGAGAATTCTCTTCCATGAAGGGATGGATGTTTTCTCTCAAAGAATAATTGGCATGCAATAGTCAGTGCAGTGTTTCTCTCGATAATAAGGCCTTGGTTATAACACTTCAACTGTTCTGTGGAGAAAATCAACACTAGAAAAACAAGAGGGGAGTTCCTATCTACGTGGTACATGAGATACTGCCCAATCCATGAATCGTTTAGTAAAGCCAATTAGATCTTTAAAATTTAAAAAAAGGAAAAGAATTTGTAGAGATGTGGATGGACCTAGAGACGGTCATACAGAGTGAAGTAAGTCAGAAAGAGAAAAATATCGTATATTAACACCTACATGTGGAATCCAGAAAAATGGTACAGATGAACCGGTTTGCAAGGCAGAAATAGAGACACAGATGTAGAGAACAAACGTATGGACACCAAGTGGGGAAAGGAGGGGTGGGATGAATTAGGAGATTGGGATTGACATATATACACTAACATGTATAAAATAGATAACTAATGAGAACCTGCTCTATAGCACAGGGAACTCCACTGTACAGTAGAAACAAACACAACATTGTAAAACAACTATACCCCAATAAAAATAAAGAAAAACAAAAGAGGTGGACATAAAGATATAGAAAAAAAGAGTAAGGGTTAGAAGCTTGATTTCTAATTCACACGCGCTCCTGAATCAGTGGGTTTACTTATTCATTTGGTATATAATTGCAAAGAGATAAAAATGGGCAGTCCATAAGAATCATAATAGCTATAACTATGTTTAAAATAAAGCAGTTGTTTTGTACCGTATTTATTTACATGAAAGGCATTAGTACATAATTGCTGCACTTGACATTTGAATTTGAAAAATTCTCTTTGCCTTAGAGTCCAAATGCTTTAGACCATACAGGATGGTGGTACAGGTCTGCATCCTGCAGCCATGCCTACCAAGTGAAGGGGACAGGTTTCTGAGAGACACAGAAAGGACTAGAACCTTCAGGCAGCGACTGACTTCTGTCCTTTCCCCTCTCAAGCCCTTCCTTATTCTTGAGATCTGCACACAAGTGAAATCACTTGCTATTTATGTGCCCTTGAGCATGTTACTTGACCTCTCTGTGCCTCAGTTTCCTCATCAGTAAAATGGAAAATCAAAAGTTCCCACCTCATTGGATTGTTGTGCAAAATAACACAAACTAATACATGTATAAGGCTCAGACCAGTGCCTGGTACATAGTAAGAACTTGTTAACTATAGTGAGATAGCTTTGATTGTAATTAGGATTATTCTACAGCACGCTCTTAATTTTCAGCTTGAAGACAAGGAAATAAATCAGGCTGTGAAAAATTACTACGCTTGTAAAAAAAAATCTTTTTTCTGTTTCCATAACGGAGGGCAACCTGAATATGCCCTTCAAGTTTCAGAGAGGATTTTTAGATTGACAGTACATACAAGAAAGGTAACTTTATAATAACCTTGCAACCCTACTACTGAGAACGTTCAGGAATTTACACAGGCATGAAAAAAGTTGAAAGCAACAAAAACATGTCTGATTTCAGCAGATGTTGTAACCGGCCTGGAATGAGGAACATTTTCAAACTGGAAGAGAAACATGTATGAGTTTAACATCCCCACATGGGCTTCCCTGGTGGCACAGTGGTTGAGAGTCCGCCTGCCGATGCAGGGGACACGGGTTCATGCCCCGGTCCGGGAAGATCCTGCATGCCGAGGAGCGGCTGAGCCCGTGAGCCATGGCCGCTGACCCTGCGTGTCCGGAGCCTATGCTCCGCAACGGGAGAGGCCACAACAGTGAGAGGCCCGCGTACCGCAAAAAAAAAAAAAAAAAAAAAAAAAAAAAAAATCCCCACTTCATTCAGAAGGACAAGGTTGAGTTGGGAAAGCTCTGTTGACAACAACGTAATTGACACAGTGGTTTTGTTTGTTTTATCAGCAAATTGTTTTCTCAAGCAAAACCCCATTTGTGGCCAGAAACCTCTTAGAGAAGCTTTCTAGGCAAATCCAAGTGATGGAGAAGCTCTCGGCCGTCAGTGATGAGAACATAGGAAACATCAGTTCTGTCATCGAAGGTGAGCACCTGCAGTTACGCTGCCATTCTTGTAAATGATGACCCCGTGAGCCCCGTCCCCTGCCTGCATCTATTCATGGCTTTGTTAGGATGGCAGAGAAGCACTCTTGGGCTGTAGAGGAAGGTCTCCACACAAGTGTGGTCGGAATTAACACCATGCTTCAGCCTTCGGAGTCAAAGCAGCAGACGCCTAGCTTTGCCTAGCGGGGCCTCCACCTCCAGAAAGCAGATGCTAGTGTATACACAGAACCAGCATCCACCGCCCAGGCAGTTTCACAGACTTGTTCTCCTGGTGTGGTTCCATGTGGGACAGGTAATCAGGATTGTGCTTGCACCACAGAGCTGGCTGAGACAGCTCCCATAGTGGTTGACTGTCAAGGCAAGGTGCTCTCAAACCCTACTGGGAAAGGTAGAGGAAAGAGAAGTCAAAGGCCTTCAGGAGCGTCCCCGGTTCAGAGAGCGTTAGGTAGAGAACTTGACCCAGGAAAGACGCCTTTGAATCTGTGTGGTCTGGCTATAGGGCTGTTTCCTAAAGGCAACAATCTGTATCGTTTTTCACATCAGATAACCTGTGGAAATATTGGAAAACTAGGATCGTCTGGATTATCTCCGATTAAGCTTAAAACACCCTGTAGGTTCTTCCTATACATTTCTGCCTCCTGCTTCCGGTCCTCCCAGGAGCAGGTGACTTTGGCAGGTCTCTGAGAGATGTGAAAAGGGGCAGGACATTCAGACTCCTGTCCGTTCCTCCCCCAGGCCCCTCTGCATGATCACAGCCACATGAGTGAAATGCTGACCGTGGCATATGGCTCTTCAATCATTTCAGTCAGAGAGCCGCCTGGGCAGGGTGAAAAAACTCCTTCAGTCGTCCTCTGCTCTGTTGCACCCCCTGCAGAAAAGTCTCCTGAGGTTTGAGTCTCTGATCCTGTACATTTTTTGCTGTTAAGTTATAGGAGATGAGATGATTGGACCTTCTCCCAAGGGTAGACCTGCTGTTTTCTATCACCTAAAGCAAACAGCTTGGCTTTTGCTGCATTTTCTTTGCTGCCCAGGCTGGATGAGATCCTCATTTCAACTTCTTTGCCCTCGGGACACCTGCCAACGACAGAAGAATCCTGTAGTTCTGATTAAAAATCAGTCCTTAAAAAAAAAGGAAGGCCCTTGGTGATGCCTTCCCCATCCTGACCCAGGCCATCTCTTCATCTATTTCATTCAAAACATGTATCATGAGATGGGGGGTTGCTCTTCTATTCCAGCCATACCGGAATTTCACAAAAAGCTGTCTTTGCTGTCATTCTGGACCAAGTGCTGCAGCCCGGCTGGCGTCTACCACAGCTCAGCGGACAGAGTGATTAAGCAGCTAGAAGCCAGCTTTGCCAGAACTGTCAACAGAGACTATCCCGGACTTGCAGACCCAGGTACAGGGCAGCAGGAGCAAGGGAAACATTTCTGTCGTTTGTTTTGAGAGTGAGCGCTAGAGAGGTTCCCTCAACACTTTCCCCGCAGCTAGCCCTGAGAAAGGGCTTACCCTCCAGAGAAAACATCATCTACTCAGTAAAATCGAAGAAAAGAAAGACACTGAACATGTTTTCATTCAGAATATCAGCAGTGACTTTGAAAAGGACTGTATGTCTGTGTTGCTACTGAAGTACGTATCCTTTCTTCATTAAAGTGTCAGCAATACAGGAGTGTCAAATGGTATAACCACTTGGGAAAAACTGTTCGGCAGTGTCTATGAAAACTAAATATGTATACTCCTACCCTGTGATCCAGCAATTCCACTCCTAAATGTATCAAGAGAAATACATGCTTATGCTCATTTTTTAATAGCAGCTTTATTCACAAGAGCCAGAAATTAGAAACAAGTCAAATGCCCATCAACAAGAACATGGATAAATTGTAATATAGTCATACAATAGGGTATTACATAGCAGTTTTCAAAAAGAATAAATTACCGCTACAAGCAACAATTTGGATGAATCTCACAGATATTTTTTGAGCAAAAGGAGCTGGATACAAAAAGTACATACTGTATACTTCCATTTATATGAAGTTCAAGAACAGATAAAGCTAATATATTGATAGAAGTTTGATTATTAGTTGCCAATGGTGGGGATAGGTGGGTAACTATAGACTGGAAAGGGGCACAAGAAAACTTAATGGAGTCCTAGCAGTGTTCTGTATCTTGATCCAAATGACAAGCTATACAGGTGTATAGACATGCAAAAGTCATCCGGCTGTACACTGATTTCACTTTACAGACTTCACTCTGTCATGTACCACAATAGAAAGATGAATGAGTGAATGAATGAATGATTGATCACGTTTCTTAAAAGCTGCTCCGTATCTTCCCCTTCCAAATAGTGTTTCGCACACTGGTATCCCAAATCCTGGACCGGGCTGAGCCCCTGCTAACCTCCAGCCTCTCCTCCGAAGTCATCACTGTTTTCCAGTATTACAGTTACTTTACGAGCCACGGTGTGAGTGACCTAGAGAGTTATCTGAACCAGCTGGCCAAGCAAGGTGGGACACGTTCTTTGGTCACACTGTGTGGGGCTCAGTTTGGAATGATCCCTGGTCTTTCTAGTCATAGTTTTTAGTGGTGCTAATTTTTTTTTCCCCCAAGTCAACAGCTGGGCTAAGGTTCGCCTTTTAAATGACTACTGGACCTTTCACATTAGTAAGCCCCTTGGCAATGAACCAGGGATTTGCTAAGCACATCCCAGTCATCCAGCAGGGGTGTGCCATTAACAGGAAGCTGGAAAATGATTTAAGACTGCTGTAATTTCTTTCCCTCATTAATGTATTTGCCACTTGTGGGATCAAGCCCGCAGGCAGTGCTATTTTATGTTGCCCTTTTTGGTGGCGCTTTCATAATACTAAGCAGAAGTAAGGTTCAGAAGAAGACCAGTGGGGTGACAGATTGGGAAGGGAAAGGAGGAGACGATGAAAAACCAAATCTAAGGCTTCATATCCAGGGATTGAAGAGAACAGGCAACCAACGCAGGGGTGCAGCAGTGAAGCTCCTTATTGCCTTCTCATGTGGCCCGTCGAACATAAGAAATAAAATCAGTATCTGCAGTGAGTGAAAACCTCTTTGGGAGTGGAGCCAGGCAGCAAGGGGCTGGTTTCCGGTTCCCAAGTTTGTGCTCTATTTCTCCACCCACGCTTGACAATGGGGCAATGGAGTGGGGGGAGGGGAGGGAGGGAGGTGTGTTCTTGGGAGTAGACAGGTTGGCACAGCGCTAGTGGCAGAAACACTTTTGACCCTGACCCAGACCCGGGCTCAGCCCTTCTCTTTCCAGAACATTAAACCCTGCGGCACCGTGTTCAGCACGGTGACTGGCATCACAAGGAGAAAAAGAGAATCTTCCTCCATCCAGGGCCGCTCCAGCCTGAGCACGGGAGTCTGTGCTTAGGTCCCACTCCCCAGCCCGAATAGCCATGCTAGCCCAGAGTGCCAGAGAGGGCAAGCCTGGGCAGGAGACGCCTCTGATGGAAACTGAATAATATAGAAATTTACTCAGAAAATTGATTTTTTTTTTTTTTTTAAGAAAATCGATTTAGATCGTGACAAATTTAGAATCAAGAAATGAAGAGCATAGGGCTTCCCTGGTGGCGCAGTGGTTGAGAGTCCGCCTGCCGATGCAGGGGGACGCGGGTTCGTGTCCTGGTCCGGGAAGATCCCACATGCCGCGGGGCAGCTGGGCCCATGAGCCATGGCCGCTGAGCCTGCGCGTCCGGAGCCTGAGCTCCGCGGCGGGAGGGGCCGCACCGGTGAGAGGCCCCTGTACTGCAAACAAACAAACAAACAAACAAAAAGAAATGAAGAGCATAACAAAGTGAGACCCTGGGGTCCTAAAACCGCATCCCCTTCCTCCTGTTACACAGCCCTGGAGAATGACCATGGGAAGAACTCTAAGCCTTTACTTATCTTTTTTTCCCCTTTCTTTATACAAAGAAAAGCCCTTCATTATACCAAAAAAAAAAAAATTATTTTAGAAAACATGGAGAAGTATGAAGAGATTCAAATCACCTATTCTCCTATTTTTAAAATATAATGTGTTTTTCAGTTGATTGTGTGCTGGTTTTAAATTTCAAAATTGTGATTACTCATTATAGAATATTATATCCTGATTTTTTTAATTTGACATTATATCCCATGCTATTAATTCTTTGAAACATTTTTTGGTTTTATAATATCCCTGCATTTAGATGCATACTAATATATTTGATTATTGTTGAACGTTTAGGTTGTTTTCTGTTACTTATTTAGCTGTTATACATAATATTACCTGGAGACTTTTTACTAGAGTGTTTATTTATAAAACAGTGAAGTTACCAGAACAACCACAACAGGAGAAATGGGAAATTAAAGCAAAAAAATCTTAATCATTCACCAATTTGTTCATGTATAGAGGGTGTGGCTCTATCAATGGAACGTGAATTTTAGGTTATATGTTCCCACCTGCACAGACCAGATACACTCTTATCCTAATGCTTTTGTGGCTAATGGACGCCCAGGCTGGATGTCTAGTTAAGGATTAGATTACATAGAGCATATGGTCAATTTGACCAAATGGAACTCAGAATCCTATTTTTTATCATATTGTCCCCATATTCCAACCAACTGGATTTTTCCATCAGAGTCCAGTTTCCTGAGTGCAGAGAGAAGGCTGAGTAAGGGGTCATTCAGGGTCAGGGTTTTGCCAGGCAAGTATGACTGAAATACAGGGGGTTGGGGACTTCCCTGGCGGTCCAGTGGTTAAGACTTCACCTTCCAGTGCAGGGGGTACAGGTTCGATCCCTGGTTGGGGAACTGAGATCCCACATGCCTCACAGCCAAAAAACCAAAGCATAAAACAGAAGCAATATTGTAAGCTCCGCGGCGGGAGGGGCCGCACCGGTGAGAGGCCCCTGTACTGCAAACAAACAAACAAACAAACAAAAAGAAATGAAGAGCATAACAAAGTGAGACCCTGGGGTCCTAAAACCGCATCCCCTTCCTCCTGTTACACAGCCCTGGAGAATGACCATGGGAAGAACTCTAAGCCTTTACTTATCTTTTTTTCCCCTTTCTTTATACAAAGAAAAGCCCTTCATTATACCAAAAAAAAAAAAATTATTTTAGAAAACATGGAGAAGTATGAAGAGATTCAAATCACCTATTCTCCTATTTTTAAAATATAATGTGTTTTTCAGTTGATTGTGTGCTGGTTTTAAATTTCAAAATTGTGATTACTCATTATAGAATATTATATCCTGATTTTTTTAATTTGACATTATATCCCATGCTATTAATTCTTTGAAACATTTTTTGGTTTTATAATATCCCTGCATTTAGATGCATACTAATATATTTGATTATTGTTGAACGTTTAGGTTGTTTTCTGTTACTTATTTAGCTGTTATACATAATATTACCTGGAGACTTTTTACTAGAGTGTTTATTTATAAAACAGTGAAGTTACCAGAACAACCACAACAGGAGAAATGGGAAATTAAAGCAAAAAAATCTTAATCATTCACCAATTTGTTCATGTATAGAGGGTGTGGCTCTATCAATGGAACGTGAATTTTAGGTTATATGTTCCCACCTGCACAGACCAGATACACTCTTATCCTAATGCTTTTGTGGCTAATGGACGCCCAGGCTGGATGTCTAGTTAAGGATTAGATTACATAGAGCATATGGTCAATTTGACCAAATGGAACTCAGAATCCTATTTTTTATCATATTGTCCCCATATTCCAACCAACTGGATTTTTCCATCAGAGTCCAGTTTCCTGAGTGCAGAGAGAAGGCTGAGTAAGGGGTCATTCAGGGTCAGGGTTTTGCCAGGCAAGTATGACTGAAATACAGGGGGTTGGGGACTTCCCTGGCGGTCCAGTGGTTAAGACTTCACCTTCCAGTGCAGGGGGTACAGGTTCGATCCCTGGTTGGGGAACTGAGATCCCACATGCCTCACAGCCAAAAAACCAAAGCATAAAACAGAAGCAATATTGTAACAAATTCAATGAAGACTTTAAAAATAAAAAGACAGTAAAAAAAAGAACACTGTAAAAACTGTTTACTTGTATTTTCTTCACTATTATTTTTACATGTGACTGGTTAATTCATCTCTAAGTTATTATAGTAGCCATTATGAGGTGGAAACCCACTTTTACTTTTTTCTCATATGATTCATTTGCCTTGATATAGCTATTTGAATAATCTGTCCTTTTCTCACTAATTGGAAACATCTCCTTTCTAATATGCTAATTTTCATATATCCTTGGGTCTGTTATTATGTACATCCTTGAGTCTTATTTATATTTGTAATGAGCATGTTCCTTTACTGTCAGAAGGTGACCTCTGTTTTCTTCTCACTCTCCAGTTTCCATGGTTCAGACTCTGCAGTCACTGAGAGATGAAAAACTGCTACAGGTCATGAGTGACCTTGCACCCAGCAGCCTCCTGGCCCAGCAGGAAATACTCAGGACCCTGGCTCTGCTCTTAACTGGGGATGACAGTGGAGTTAGTGAAGCTGTGATGCTTTACTTGGCAGCAGCCTCCAGAAACGAGCATTTCAGGGAAAAGGTAGGGCATGAAATGATGGACATCGAGGCAGAAGCTTGTTTAACTTAATGCCATTTACTATTAATAGTTTGTCATCTTTTCCTTTATAAAAATAATTTTCTTTAACTTATTAATAATATATATTCTGTACAATGATTTAAACTACAAAAATATTACTGAAAATAGTTAAGTACCTGTAGGTCCAGCCCCCAGAGAAAACTGTTAATAACTTGGTGTACATTCCTTCAGATTTTTTCTATTTTATCCATGCTAACATGGATAATTATTTTTTTCTTGAACCAGATCACACTATTCTGTTGTGCAACTGATTTTTTAAATGTAATATATCGTGGTTATTTTCTTTCCATGGCAGAACGTATCAATCTACTTCATTCTATTTGATGGATAAATGGCATCTCAGTATATGAATAACCCATTATTTTCTTATTCCATATTGATGAGCATTTGTGTAGTTTCCAACTCTGAAAAATATTATGATGAACATACGTATGTATGTTCACGCACATGCATTTCTCATGAGTAGTTTGGGGTTAAGTCATCAAACTATTGGGTCAAACAGCTAGAATATTTTTAATTTGAAAAGCCATCACTCCTGATGCTAGGGAAGAGACAGTTTACCTCTCTCGGCTTTAATTCAGCAGTCATCCAGGTATAATAAACATCTGCAATTCAAGCACATTGGGGCCCAGTACAAGCAAGGGCCTCAGTCCTCTGGGAGCCCTTTACAACTTGAACAGTCATTCTAAAAATCAATTCATGTCAACCTTCAGATCAGCTCAAGAAGATCAAACTTGGTCCTTCTTGTCCTTGGGGAGGTCGATGTTGGACTCTGAGAAGAGTTTGCTTAACTTTTCTAAGGCATTACATGAGCTCGCATGTGGCGAGATGTACTCACAGGAAGGTATTCCGTTCTAATGTCATTTTGGCCCAAGAGCATGGACTTCACATTGTTCTTTCCTACAAAGTTCTGATCTTTCGGTAGAATTTGCTCAAAACTCTCTTCTATGGGCCGAATACCATCACCCCCACTGAAAGAGCAAGACACGAGAGGCCATGTATTATGTGATTCCAGTCATAGAATAGAAGGCATGATGAACTGAGTAAAGAGACAGCTCTTTTAATAAACATGAATTTTAATGGATTTTTTGTTGTTGTTCTGAAGGTAGTGCAAAATGTCTTGTTTTATCTGTAGCTTATCTCAGGGAGTAAAAATGATATATACATCTAAAACTACAAACAAATCGAAGTGTCTTCACAGCGTCCTTTCTTCTTTTTCAGGCCCTGCTCTATTACTGTGAAGCCCTAACAAAGACTGACCTCTGGCTCCAGAAGGGAGCTTGCCTGGCCCTGAAAAGCCTGAAGGTAAGGTTCAGCCTCAGAGCCCCTGGCAGGTCAGCTTTGAGCTGACTGTGGCTTTGAGACTAAGCCAGGTGCATAGAACAGCTTTCTTTCTGTATTTGGAAGGACCTGCTTTAGCAGCATTTCTCCTCTCCTTTACACTGTATATTAGTTCGGGAGTCCTTTTTGTCTTTTTCTTTAACTGAAGTGTAGTTGATTTACAATGTTGTGTCAATCTCTGCTGTACAGCAAAGTGACTCAGTTTTATACACATATACATTCTTTTTAAAATATTCTTTTCCATTATGGTTTATCCCAGGAGATTGGTATAGTTCCCTGGGCTATACAGTAGGACCTTGTTGTTTATCCATTCTAAATGTAATAGTTTGCATCTACCAACCCCAAATTTAGTACCTAAATGTAACTTAGTTTTGTTAAAGTCGATACGTTTCAGAAAACAGTTCCATTTCTCAATAGCCCACAGGAATCAGTTTGCCTTAGAATGACTGTTAGAAAAGTATCTTCCATCCCAAAAAAGAGATGACATGCTGATTTCATCAGTTTTTCTTGTGTACAAAAAAATAGCAGGAACAAATAAAATTGGCAAAGAAGTATTAAAATCCAGTGTGCCAATAAACTCCCAAATCCTTCCTGGAGAATTCTTTTTTACTAACCAGCTCATCAGTCTTAATTGTGTCAGAGGGAGGTGTAAATGAAAAAAGGGCTGAGAATTGCCAACATTAAAGAGCTTGCCTTTCAGTAGTCAAGATTTAATGTGTGACCGACCTTAATCACAAAATATAAGATTAATCATCCTTGAGAAAAGAATGAAAAGGCCACACCTTAAAACTTGCTGAACTCTTGGGTTGGTGCAAGGACCTGCAGGCCTGATGGAACATGAAGGAAGGGATTAACACCTCAAAAGAAAAAGTTAATGACCTGTGAAGAAAAACAGCTCTGGGAAAATTTGCCTTCCTTGTTACTTGGTCAAAAAATTACCTTGAGGTGGCCAAAAAAAGCTCACAGTGGTTGCTGTGTATTTGGGTGCTCTCCTTATATACAGTGACAGGTCGGTGATGATAGCTCTGATATAGAGTTAACATAAATTAAGACATGAGGATAAGTGATTTGCACCAGTTTTTGTGGATTTACATTCTGTGAAGCTTACCATAAAAGCTACAGTTTTAGGACTTCCCTGGTGGGCCAGTGGTTAAGAATTGGCCTGCCAATGCAGGGGACACGGGCTCAAGCCCTGGTCCGGGAGGATCCCACATGCCGCAGAGCAACTAAGCCTGTGCGCCACAACTACTGAGCCCACGTGCCACAACTACTGAGCCCACGCACCTAAAGCCCATGCACCTCAACAAGAGAAACCACCACAATGAGAAGCCCACGCACCTCAACGAAGAGCAGCCCCCGCTCACCGCAACCAGAGAAAGCCCGTGCACAGTAACAAAGACCCAACGCAGCCATAAATAAATAGATAGATAGATAGATAGATAGATAGATAGACAGATAGATAGATAAATAAATAAATAAATTTAAAAAGCTACAGTTTTAAAGTCTAGCTTATCCAGAGTCTGGGAGCACCAATTCCTCTCCTTTACCTTTTTCTCCTAGAGGATAGGATCCTTTGTGCTGACAAAAAGACCTCTTTCTAAACCATCTGCAGCCCCCCAGCTCCTGAAAGGGGCTCCATGCAGCATGATGTGAAAAACAGTGCAGACTCAACCAATCAATTCTTGTTAACTTGTCAGGGAAAAAAATTTTTTTTTAATTAATGATGGCAAACAGACAGCTGACATTTTTCTTTCCTATTATCAAAATGAAAACAAGCTTGAGAGGTGAAGGTCCTCAAATCCAGCGGCCCTCCAATTTTAGGTTCCCCGTCTGTCTTACTGGGCTAAAATAACCCATAGTCTACCCATGCAGCTACCATTTCATAAGCCTACCTTTCTTCCAGAAAAGAAAACTAATTTGTTACCCAATATCGACTCCTCAGAATGACAGGAAGAGCATTTTATTTCATAGCAGGCTCTCTTTCGTCTACCTGCCTTCAATACTGGTGTTTGTAGAGACAGCTGCTGGGCTCTCTTCTCCCTTTACGAGTCGTCCCTGGGGAAACATCAACTCCTGCGTTTTCCATCATCATCTCTATGCTAATAATTCCTCGTATTTCCAGTCCAGGTCTTCCCTTCCCATCTCTGATCAGCTTGCTCTTAGGTATCTCCCCTAGGAAGTCACCTCAAACTCCACCCATCTCACCCCCACCTCTAGTCTCTGGTGTCTTAGTGGATTGTACAACCGTCTCTCAGCTCAGGCCAGAAACCTAGGAGCCATCAGTGACCCCGCCCTTCCCCCCACTCTTTATCCCCACTCTGTTCACCTGGATTCGAGCTACCTTCCCACTCGTCTCTCTGCCTCCCTGCAGTCCATCCTCTCCACTGCAGTTAGAAAGCTCAGAATAAAAGACAACTCCTTCTTAAAACTCTTACAGGGCTTTCCATGATCTTATAATGATGTCCAAAATCTTTAATGTGGCTTATAAGCCTCCCATCGATTTGGACCCCGTAACAAGCTATTCCCCTTACCTAGGATGTATTTCCTTCTCCACACCCCCAAACACTACACATACACACACACACACACGTACACACACATACACACACACACACACACACACACACACACACACACACACACACACACACACACAC